GGAGCCCCTGCTTGAAGAGGATATTGCTTAAACATGCAGCAATACAATTAAAGAGGGAATTGAGATGCCAGGAAGTTGGACATGGCAAGAACTTGGAATATGTGCCAAAGAAAACTGCAGGTTTTGAGTAGTGCTTGCCCAAAAGAGAGTTGTTGTTGTTACAAACCGCCAAAGTCATCAAGATGGGGTCACCCAAACCCTCTAAAATTCGTATCTCTTTACCATGTGTCCCAGATGCCAGACACAGAGCTACAGGATTTAGGGTTTTCCCTGCTGGGTTTCAGGCTGGCTCTGAACTTATTTTTTTGCAGCTCTGTTCCTCCCTATTGTAACTGGGAGGGTCACTGTATCTTGAGATTCTGTAATTTGTTCCTTTATTTTTATAGAGCCTCATAGATTAAGGGTCTCAGAAGAGACTTTGACTTGGACCTTTGAAAATTCTTAAACTGTCGAGCCTCTGGGGTGTTTCATGTCCAGTTGTACAATAGAAGAGTTATGTTAGATGGAACTGGGATCTTGCTATTATCTTTATTTGGAGATTTTAAGTATAGTTGAAGGAGATGTGTTTGGGTTACAAGCTGACAAGGGTTGGGATGTGGCAATTAAGGTAGAAGTCAACTTGACTGGCTTGAGACCCACTCAATGGATAGAACACTTATGGGTGTGCCAGGGTGGCTCATCGGAAGTGTGGCCTTGCAGTCTGTATCTGGTTCCCTGATCCTTACTCTCCGTCACTGTTTCACTGCTTTGTTTTCAGCTGGCATGATCTAAGCAGCTTTGCTTCACCATGCCCTTATGCTGGATGACCATAGGCTGAATCCCCTTAAAACATAAGCCAAATTAAGCCTCTTCTCCTTTAAGTTGCCTGTGTCAGGTGCTGCAATAGGAAAGCTGACTAACGTACCGTATACTGGGTTACTTCCTAAGTCCTGAGTTTAACTTTAGAACAAGTTTCCTGACAAAAGTTTCTGAAAAGTAGTCAAATATATTTCCAAATTCTCTCCAGTTCTTAAGCAAAGCAAAAAGAGAGGAAAAGGTTTTCAGTAAAAAGATCTTCCTCAGAGAAACTGATCTACTGGAATGATGTGTCTCTAGAATAAATATCTATTATCCTTATAATTCTAATAAATTTTAAACTCAAGCCCTGAATCAATGTGAGCTTTTCAGGTCAGGGAAAGTATAAAATAGGTTGAGAAAGATTCAACTGCTAAATATAATGCTAAGACTCTTATCCACAACAATCATACTGGATTTCAGTATCTGGGCCTACTCAAGTCAAGGAGAAAATAAGAATATTTAATAAAAAGTGTTAGGACAGATGGATAGCCTTTTGGGAAACAAAACTAACATCAGACTATTACCTCATTTCTTAACTAAAATAAATTCCTGCTAGTCAAAAATTTGATATAAAAAACTGAAATTCTTTTAACTAAGTGCATTTTTATTTTAAAATAATCTCAAAGGGAAAACAGCATTTCTAGGCAGTCAGGTTGAATTTTAACCTAATTTTCAAAGACGTAAAATATTAGTACAGTGGTACCTCCAGTTCATAAATATTTTTGTTTGTAAACAACTTGGTTTGTATACAGAAGCATTAGGCAAAATTCTGTTTGTGTTTCCAAACTCTACATTAGATGACAAACATGACCATAGTCATCTTTCCCATAAAACACAAATACGGTCACTTCTTCCAAAATTATAGAACAAATTAAGTTCATAAAAGGGTAATACTATAGTACTCTAGGGTAAAATGACAGTGTAAGAAAACGCACACATACATTCTTAATGAGAGTGTAAACCAATGCAATTAATTTTGCATGGAAATTTGGATACAGTATTTATACTTTCAGTTACATAATACTCAACTTCTACAAATCTGTCCTACAACTTCTCACATTTGAACAAAGATAAGCTGTGGATAATGAATGCCCACTGTCCACTGAATCATTGTTTGCAATAGGAAAAAAATCAAAAATAAATATCTATTGATTAAGTTACGTTACAAACACATAGTGGAGTATGATACATTAACTACAAATACAGCAAAACTTAATCCAACTAGTATAAATAGATCCAATATACAAAAATTACACACAAATTAGTGAAAGACATAAAGAACATCTTTCTTAATGAGAAGAAAAAAATTTCACAAGGATACTTAACTCTAGGTCTTGCCCTGGAGGAAAAAAAGTAAAGTTTTATTGGTATTGCCAGTTTTTGCCCATTTACATCAAGTATCCTTAGAAAAAGTCTGTACCTCTAGTAAGTTTCTTGGCTTTCCCTATGACTGCAAAATATGAACATTAAAAATTTCATGAAGCTTCACAAACTACCTACAACTGATTTCTCAGCACTCGAAGCTAACTCACTCTTAAGATCTTAGGCAAAAACTAATAAAACACATTATTCCTTTTAGAAATTCCCATGGCCTGCTTGGTAGAATGCTGGCTGGTTGTACGCAGAAGCCACCTTTGCACTACAGACAGCACAGCTTCAAGGCTACCGGAGGAAAAACCTGACTTCTCTCTTCTTCCTCTACTTTGTACTGGGGTGTAGCTGGTAAGAAAACAGGACTTTTAGTAGAACACTTCTTAAATTAATTGTCTTCTAAATGGAAAAAGAATAGAAAGTAAAAGGTAAAATGATATAAATCTTAAATATCTTTATCTTGAAACACTTTGTATTTTTATTTCTATGAGTTACTGTTATTTTCTGCTTTTCTTATCACCTAGTTACATAACTAGAACCAATTTTATATTATTACACTATCAGTAAATTTCAAAAAAAACAAATTTTTATAAGCTAGTATCATAAGTTAGGCTGCCAACATATCTCACCATGTTGAAATATACTGCTTACTGAAGGACTGATCCCAGCTAAACCAACAGTAAGCCCATACTCTGCTAACTGAACAGCACATAAAGCTATATCTACAGGACAACAGACATTCATTTAGCAAATAAATTAATTACATTATGCTAAACAAATCCTAAAAAGTAATTCAAATGGGAAAAAGTTAAAACTCTAAGCTATAACACCCTAAGGACAATACACAAAAAATATGTCTCAAGTATATATAAAAACTCCATAGATATGATTTATTTAATTTTTTAGTACTTGTCAGAATTACTCGTAAATTTTTACATTTGCTACATCATATGTTTTATTCAACAAATATTAACTAAGTTTAGTATATGCCAAGAAAGTGAGATTTTTGTGTAAGTCAAAACAAGATACATTTCCTGTCTTCATGGGGTTTATGACTAGAGAAGGAAAATTTAAATAATTACACAAGTATACTCAAAATTTGTAACTAGGACTATAAAATATAGGCATTAAAACTCAGCACCATAAACTAAGACTTCTTTGAGATGGCAACAATAGGAAAGGCTTTAACAGGAAATAACAATCCAGCTGACATGTGAAAGACAAAAGGAAAAATATGTTGAAAGTATTCCAAACACAGGAAGCAGCAAGTGCACAGGCCCTGTCACAGGACGGAGCACTTAATAAGCTCTAACAGGAAAGACAGCCAGTGTGCTGCAGCACAGAACGTAGGAAAAAGGGAAGCGAAGGACACACAGGCAGATGACACAGGGCCTCACATGCTAACATTTGGAGTAAAGAGAAGAAAGTTCCAGCAAGAGGCCGAGAAGAGGGACTGGGGATTTAGCTCAGCGGCATAAGCGCCTGCCTTGCAAGTGCATGGTCATGAGTTCGGTCCCTGGTACCAATTAAAAAAAAAAAAATCTTAAGCAGCCAAGGAGAGAAGCTGACAGCTTGGATTAGAGTGGAACTGGAAGCATCATTTAGGTGGTTACACCAATGGGAGTCACTTGCAGGATGGAGACCTATGCTTTCCAATACAGCAGTCAGCAGGCATATATGACTATTTTTTTTTGTCTTTTTCCTTTTTATTGATACCAGGGATCGAACTCACAACTGCCTGCTGCCAAGGCAGGCGCTTATGTCACTGAGCTAAATTCCCAGCCCCTATGACTTTATAAATAATAAAATTAACTAAAAGTCAGCACTACGAAGTGCCTAATGGACTTCATTCTGAATAACACAGATACAGAGTAATTTCAGCATCATGCAAAGTTCTATTGGATAGAGTTGGTAAACAATGAGTAGGAAAATTGGCCTAATTTAAATCCTGAAACAAATATCCCACAGAAAAAAAAATGAGCTGACAGAACCAACACAGGCACACATCATTTCAGAAACCAAAGAAAGGCTACATTAAAGGGACTGGTCAGGGTCAAATGCCTGTGAAGTCCACTAAGAGGATTTCACTCAGGTCTGCAAAACGGACGTTTGATTTTAGATCAGGCAATTACAGGTGACCTTATCAGGACAGAAGTTTAATTCCCTTGGGGTTAAAGACAGAGTAAAAGGCAAAGGACTAGGAAATTAAAATAGACTATAAGCAAAGGAACAACTGGAGAAACACAGTGAGGAAAAAGGGAGTAGCTGGAAAGGATGTGGGTCTGAGATAAGATTCAGTCTGTTTGAATGGCAACAGGAATGGTAAAACACACATCATTAGAGCTGAAGATTCACAGGAAAGTTAGGAAGGAAAGATTTCGAGGCAATATAAACCTCAAGTAGAAAGGGGAATTCCTGCTTTCTGGACAAGAAAGAAGCATGTGCAGAAAAGGCAGAGGCACTTAGCAGCTTTAAATCTGCTGCAGAGAGATGGAGCCATCTGCTGGCAGAGCCTCAGACACTTGAGGGCACTGGGATGGATCTGACTGTCTCTGTGGAGAAAGAAAAAGTGCTGACCAGGGAAACTTGGCAGGACAGGTTTAAGAGTCCTTGAAAGGTCAGTGGCCATGAATTTAAATGGTGCCAACACCCATGCATTTCTGAAAGAAACATAAGATGAAAATCTTACTGCATTCAAAATAATCAAACTTACAGTGAATTATTTGAAAAATATTGGCCCTATAAAACTGTGCCTGACACATGGAGACACCAGTGTGAAAACTTGGAGATACCTGAGCACTGCAGCTGAGACAGAATTTGAGCACCTTCAAAGTGGTGGCTTGTCATCTTCAAGTTAGGTTTGATGCAACGAATAAAACTCGCTCCCTAGGATGATAAAGGCAGTTCTGAGACGATACAGGAGAACATCCTTAGTTTTCTAGTTCTATGAACACCAGCAATTTTTAAAGTTATTAACACATAGAACTTTTAAAATAACCACTGAAGAACTTAAAAACATATTATATACTTTTATAAATTGAAGCTTGGGGCTGGGGATTTAGCTCAGCGGCATAAGCGCCTGCCTTGCAAGCAGGCAGTCGCGAGTGCGATCCCTGGTACCGATAAAAACGGAAAAGACAAAAAAAAAAAAAAAATAAATTGAAGCTTGAAGTAATTTCTGCATTACAGTATTAGAAAATATTAATTTTAGATTTGAATGACAAAATTTATAAAAAGAAGTCTTTCACTGTAAAATACATACCAGATTTAAACAATATGTTTTGCAGGCTGACACATATATGATTTTATTCTACATTCATGTAAAAGTATACACTATTCCTGTGCTAAAAATATTATTTTATGAGGATTAAATTATGCCCTTTTAATGTCAAAATGCTAAAAAAATACATACACATAATCCACCGATCCTTTCATTCTACTTCAAAAATACCGGCTGTTTGTTGGTTTTGGTTTTGGTCTGTGATGGTGGTGGCAGTGTTGCTGCAGTACCAGGGAAATGAACTCATGGCCTCACACTGAACTATGTACCCTGACCCTTTTATAGGTTTTTATTTTGAGACAAGATCTCACTAAGTTGCCCAGGCTAGATTCAAACTTTTAATCCTCCTGCCTCAGCCTCCCACAGGGCTAGGATTTCAAGTGTGCATTCCCAAACCCAGCAGAAAAGCTTAATTTGTTAAACAATATTTATTAAAGTCTGAATACATTCTTGTGGTTATCAGATTACCCTGAATGAGGCAAAAGAAGACTGACCACGTATACAATGAAACGATACTGTACTTAAACTAGTATGCTAGACCTCCAAATAACTCTATCTCTTCAAAACAGTAACCTTGAAAAACTGAACAGCTATTTCAACAAGGACGCTCACTGCAACACTTTTGTAACACACTTCTATAAATCACATAAGTAAGCTCATTACTATAGAGTAGCACCTTACTGGAGAAATAAAATGCCTTTCTCATCAGCTTAGTCTTCAGTGACAAATGTTTACAGCCAATGACGATATTTAATTATTTCTACCTTTGTGAAGCTATAACTAATCTCAAAAACATTCAAAGAGCTCTGTATTTTTGTACAACAGTTTGACTTCATATATTATTTGGCCTTTCTTCAGAACACACCTAAAAAAATAATAACCATTTCAAAAACATGTTTTAATGAAGAGAATTAAATATATTCTAATTATTCTAGGGTTACTATGTTTATCTGGGTATATAATAATAATAGTGTTAGAGGACTGTTTAAAAAATGTATTTTGCTTTCAAGAATACTCACAGTACTTCGAAGTTTATCCAAAAGCAAATTTAATTGTGTCTGTGAAAGAAATGAAATTAATTTATTTCAAGAAGTCAAAGTATACTGTAACAAGCGTTAATATTCTCAATATTAAAATAAACTAACATGCAATAACATCCATATGTAACACTTTAGAACTTAGCAAACTTTTGTACACAAACTCTTTAATAGCATCATGCAAAATAGCCAATGAAATGACAAGAGCATAACTACACAGAACTTGTATGATTAAAATACTAAAAATTAGTCATCCTAAAAAGTCACAGATTTAGTGATTGGGTATAGTTGGTGTCATAAGCTATTAAGAATGAGGAAATGTTTAAAATATGTACTACTATCTATCGGGATTATTCCACATAATAGCATAAACAAAATCATTTTACCTAGCTCTAGACATTCTTCTATTATTTTAAAACATTTCACACTTCAATTATTTTCTAGAAATTGGACAATTTTCTTTAAAAATCAAAAATGAATACTATAAGACAAAACACTCTGCTTTCCTGCTTTTAAAATATTGATTGTAATTTACTCTGGTTCAGTACATTAAAACAGTACATTAAAACCGTTTATCTCCTTTACTACTCTACAAAGTAAATTCATTATGTAAAATTCACTATGAGGATTTTATACTGGGATCCTTAGTATACTACTTAGGGGATTTTATATTGATATGGGAATTTTATACTGAGGTCCTTATTATACTATTTAGGAGAGAATTAAAGTGTTATTATTACATTAATATTATGTTGGTCATAATTGACATTATAATTGATATTAACAGGTAGTTTTCCCAAGAGTAGGGTACTACTCAAAGCTTTACATGAGTATCATCAAACTTAACCCAATTAAGGGTAACACAACAATCCTAATGAAGGTGATATGATTAGCCTCACTTTACAGCAACAACACTGAGGCCTGGTAAGATAAATGATTTGCCTAAGCTAATAGCAAAGTCATAAATTCAATACAGGCCTGGTACCAGATTTCACTGATTCTACAATATCACTATATTTTCACTGATTCTACAGTATACTGCACATATTATAGGCTTCAGTTATTAACATGAAATGAATGTCATTGGGCCCAAGAAACACCATCATACCTCAACTTATCTGGCTGACAGAGTTCTGACAACCTAACTATCTGTACTCCCACATAACTCAAAAGCAAGTTCAAGAGCCACTAATTTTGAAAACAACTGTCTCAAAGTCTGTGTTCTTTAATCCATAGACCAAGTCTGGGGTTCTTCCTCCAAAATGGAGATACAGTGAGAATAGTGGAAGCAACAAAAATAAATAATAGCAAGAAAAGAGAAAAGAAGGCCAATTATCAAAACCAGTACTCAATAATCATAAAGCATAACGTAAACAGCCTTAGGCAATTCAGGCTCCATTTGCATTTTTACAGTAAAACACACAATAATCATGTTTATAATAGAATACAGTTCCTATCAAAAAGAATAACTTTTTCTAAAGCACTAATGGTAAGAGAAATATGTTTCAATAGCTTGAAAATGTCACTATTCAGAGGAAAACTTGGTTCCCCATGATGCTGGACAACTGAAGTATCACTACAAATGACAACTTGATCACTATCTTATATTCTTCAATTTTAATCTGATGAGTCAGTCAAATATATTTAAAACTAGGAATCACTACTAAGATTATTTCAAACTAGTATTTTTAGTATCAGTTATAGTTTTCAAGAGTTAATACAAATATATGTAAGGTATAAATAATTATAAATCATTTCAAGACTTAACACAAGACTCTTCAAACTAGCAGAATTTTAAGAACATTTACTTTTATTTATATTGTCTAAAATTTCAGGTATATTCCTACCAGCAGTACTACTTTAATGTTAAAGTAGGAAAATACTTAATGAATATTTGTTTCTTATGAATTAATGTACTTTCTGCTTTTGTTTTGTTTTGTTTCAGACTGGGTTGCAGTCTCGAACTATGACTATGTTGCACAGGGTGAAATCCCACTCCTTGGTTTAAGCAATCTTCCTGCCTCAGCCTCTCAAATAGCTGGGACTATAAACACATACCAATATATCCACTTAATGTGTTATTTTTAAACCAATCTGTTATCAGATGTCTAATGAGGAATGGAAGAATAAGAAAAAAAAAGACTGCATATTGAGTAAATTAAGGAACTCATAATGAATGTAACTTAAAATTCAAAATTTTTAATCCAGTTATCTAATTTTCCCTCCTTTTTTTTTTGGTACTGCTGGGATCACATGCAGGGCTCATGTATGCTAGGCAAGTACTCTACCACTGAGCTACATTCCCAATCCTAGGAGTATGATTTCATCAAGTTAAATTACCTAAAGCCCAATTCAATCCAAAAGGGACCTGAAGTTTTTACTGCCAGTTACTATATTATTCTGATATACACTGTTCCTAATTATCACTTTTGATAAAGTACATATTTCAAAAGACTTGTGCAAATGTGTAAAAGAAGTCAATTCTATTGTTTGTTCTATGTAAAGCATTATATTCCTCTGTTAAACTTGTAACGTAAGTATTTATTTTTCTATACTCAAAATTACTCAAAATTATAACCAACTAAGTAGTATTGTGTGTGTGTGTGTGTGTGTGTGTGTGTGTGTGTGTGTGTTGCTGAGGACTGAATCCCGGATCTTCATATTAAGTTGTATCTCCAGTCCTTGTCCTTGTCCTTGTCCTGTCCTGTCCTGTCCTGTCCTTTCCTTTCCTTTCCTTTCATTTTCTTTTCATTTGGGGGAGGAGGGGTTTAACCAGGAATCAAACTCAGGACAGACTTCATGTTTGCCAAGCAGGCACTATGCCACTGAGCTAAATCCAGCCCTTTTTCTATGTTTCACAGCCTCTGAGGCACTAAGCTTCCCAGAAGCTCTAGCTTTTAGTCCTCCTGCCTCAGCCTCCCAGAGTGTTGGGATTACAGGTATGTGACACTGTGCCCTGCATGTTCTGGGACATGCTTTGTAACAATTCCCTGCCAGGTTTTAAAGGATAAATTATCGATCCTAAGTTAATAAATGAACATTCCATAATGTTAGACAACTTAAAAAAGAGTTTGCCACACATAAGTACACTTAATGTTTTAAAAAACTACAGAACACTTTAAGTTTTACTGTCATTTGCATGCCACTGATGCCACTGTGAGAAAATGCATTGAAAATGAAGTACAAATGGAATCATTAACTCAAGATGGGCTCTTGGCAGCCACTCTAGTAAGAGGAGTCCATGAAAGTGATCATTTACCTGAAGGCCCTGGCTGTGCCTGCTTTTCCTCTCAACTCAACTAGTCCTCTCTAGCCATCTCGAACTGGCCTACTCCAGCTAAAACAAAACTGCTGAATGAGAAAGGAAACAGAAAACGTGGGAAAGAGAAGGTGTAAAGGTCAACCAGACAGTATGCAGAAGCAAGAACATTAGGAGAAGCAATCAGACACGTTATGCACCAGAAAGAACACATTCAGGAAATTACTGCATATTCAGTTACTGGGGCTACGTTATGCTATCTTATATTCAATTCCAACAACAACAAGGTTTTCTCTTTTTTTTCCCCAACAAGGTCTTCTCTTGAAGCTCACTTCAAATGACAGTGAGCGATCTATATTATCCACTTGAGAATATAAAAGAATCTATTTTAATTTAAATACAGTTAAAATGTTTTCAAAATAAATACCTTAGGGGCTGGGGATTTAGCTCAGCGGCATAAGCACCTGCCTTGCAAGCAGGCAGTCGTGAGTTCGATCCCTGGTACCGATAAAAACGAAAAAGACAAAAAAAAATAAAAAATAAAAAAAAAAATAAATACCTTAAACTTGTTTCCCACACTGATGAAGCTAAGTTTTCCTGCTTTTTGTTTAGTGTCTTTGTTATTATTTGTGGATGATTCAAATAATTCCCGTATAAACTTATCCTGGGACTCACATATTAAGGATTCAAGAGACATATGTAAAGCATCATTATTTTTCTCCACAAACTGGGTCTGAAAAATAAACCAAATACAAAGTTTCAGTCCATCTTATGACACACAACCCTAGCCCCACTCCGTCCAGCAGCCCTGTCTGTGAACTGTGGCAATAGAAATCTTTCTCTGCACCATCCAATGCAGCTGCCATGGGTCACAGTGAATATTTACTAGGACCTGAAACATGGCTGCTGTACTGAAGAGCTGACTTTTACATTTTATTAAACTTAAATGTAAATAGTCTCTCTAAACCAGCTAGAGGCTACTGTATCATGCAGTGCAGCATCAAACTTCAAGTAGTATTTCTCCTTAAAAATGACACACTCACTGTTTCGTAGCACACAGCCCCCGCAAAATGCCTGATAATAAAGCCTTCATCATCTCTGAGATTCCTGTGAACTGCCAGCTTGGATTTCCTGGGAATCTGAAAACAATACACACATACATTATTAAGTTCTCAAAAACCAACAACATAATATTCCTTCAGACAACGTCTGAGGTTAAAATACTTAAAATTATAAAGGTAATTTTCACACTTTTCACAATGATACTGCTTTTTAAACATTTTATACAGCTTAAAATACAAGTGAAACCTAACACATATTTGGTTATAATCTCTTATGGAAAAAAAGAATATTAAGAGCAAAGCAAATATACAGAAACTCATTATTTAGAAGTATAAAACCAAAAGCCCATTATTTAAGAACAAATGCAAAGCAGAGCTGGCATTTCATAGTCAAACACCATTTCCAAGCAGTGATTCCTGACCTTGAAATGTGTTAGTCACCCAGGAAACTTCCAAACCTCCAGAGCCTACAGCTTTTATAGGATTCCCATATGGTGCCTGTTAAAGGCACACCTGAAACCAGCACAACGACTCTCCCAGGTCCTACACCACACATCCTAACATGTTCACACAATGAGCCTCATCTATCTCACAATAAGTAAGCGCTTTTATTGTTCATTGTAATAGCTCATATTTAAACCATGACACTTTCCAAACTGCCTGATCACATGTGACCCTCTAAGAAAACGAAGATCTTTGGTGGTTCCAGGTCGGGGAGGTCCCAGGACGCAGGCCCAGCCTTTCCTCACAAGCCTGGCCACAACCACTGCATCGCTCCCCATTTCCTCATCACTAGCACTAGAATCCTTGTAGGATTATAAAAGCATGTGACAGTGCCCAATGCTAAGTGCCCCAGAAATGGTGAACTTACACACTTCCAAACAGCTACATTTACAAAAGCAATAGCCTATAGTATTAGCTAGAATTTACTGCCTTGTTTTGTGCTCTTTCAATAAATCAACCAAACCTCAATCCTGAAGCTTCTTTTTGCTGTCCTTTAAATTATACAACTCTGAGATTCTGATCACAATTTTGGTGACGAACAACCAGTACTCTCGATAAAGGCAATCACACATCAACATGCTGGAAATAGCAAAGACCTGGGAGCTGAGAATAAATGGCACTCGATGCATACTTTTAATTTTAGCCCAAGTTTTGTTGAGGATATATATTACTTTGTTTCACCTCCACCCCAGTATTAAAAACAGGCTCCAAACTACAACCAATATTTAGGATACAGAAATCCATGTCAATGGAGCAGGTAGCTCTGGGATTTCAGATCCTAAAGATTAATATAATTACATCAGCTTTTCACATAAATATATTTAACCTATATACCACTGATTTTTAAATGATCTTTTTAAAATTATTTTTTAAATTTTCTTCCCTTTTTTAACCTATTAATGAGTTACCAGGCAATGTGCAATGGCTATGTGCATTACAATTCTGTTAATGATGAATGGAAACAAAAGTAAGCCTTTAAAGTACTATTAAAGTACTGACTGTCACACAATCTCAAAAGACACACAGGATTTACTAGTCAGCAGCCCAGTTACACCAAGTGACTCTAAGTAGCCTGCCTCCTCCTTCCTATCTCTCTGTCCTCCCCAACTGCTGTGGTTATCTATGAGATGAAGTAGCACATATCTTTACACTGAAATTGACATCCATGTTTCTCAATGCAAGGATGGAGTTGTGCTATCTCAGGTAACAACAGTTAAGAAAAAGACACAGAATTAGGTAAACCCAGAAAGCACTGCAGCCACACAACCCACCCTGACAGAGAAAGGCTCTACTTTTCACTCTCACAAAGATTCAAGCCCAACTCTGAACCCACAACAGCTCATGGGACCAACATTTTTTAGCACTGCTTTTTCAGAAGTGCACTCTCATTTATTTCTACTACTTTCTCTATCTCTTTCCCTTTCCATCACCTAAAACTCTATCGTTGTAGTTTCCCTTTCCCCCTCTGAGTAGATTTTCCATTCAAAACTCCCTAGAAAACAGATCAAATGGTTGGGTTGATCACTATCTGATACTGGTTGCTTCCACCAGTCAGAGTTGCAAGCCACCGCCTTCCTTGCCGAGCTGACGAATGTGCAGATGGCTGCTTGTTACTCTAGCTGCCAACCCAGGATGTGACCAAGGTCACATGACAGGAAAAAAGCAACTGATGGACATTTAGCTCATAAGGGAGAGCACAAAGTCTTGGGTGAAATGTACTTTCCACATGAAGAAATATGCTTGGTCATGTGAAACCCCACCCCCAATGTGTGAGCCTGTGTATAAATTTAATGCCCCCTGCAGGAGATTCTGTGCTGCATTTAACACAGTTGCTCTAAACCTTACATAATTCTACTTGTCTAGCCTAGCTAATATCTAGTGTCCCTTTTTAAAGACTGCTCTTCCCATCAGAATCTTGGTCTCAGAATGATGAGCTCACAGTGAGTCGGAAATGGTCCTTGTGTTTCTGGTGAACCGCAGATGTGAAGTGCTGGTCATTTGGCTGGGGAAGGCGATTTTCTTCATCCAAAATATCTAGTATTCCCACTAATTTTGCTTCAATTAAATCTATTTTGAAAAATAAGAGCAAATTTTGATAGGGTAAGAACATTCTAAATATATGGTGAACAATGTACTGATCTCACATTTCAAGGACTGGTTAGAAAAATACAACAGTTAATTTTGAAAATACTTTATCAATGGCTATTATGAACAGATGGATTTTTATTTGAAACCTGGCCATTTGTTAAAATGTCCAATCACAGTTTTAACGTAAGTTTTAGAAAACAATTCCATGAAGAAAATAACTAATACAATGACAATTCCATTTGTAAACTAAAAAAAAGGCTAAGGGATTAGAAATTTCCCCTTTCATAGATGGCATCTACATTCAAATTGAAATAAAACTCGAGGAGCTTTTTCACGCACAGCTGTCAGTGAAACACTTTTAAGTGAAACTTTTCAGTTTTTGTTTTTGGTTTTGTTTTGTTTTTTGTTTTGTTTATGGGAGACAAGCGTCACTGTGGTCCAGGCTGTTCCTGAGGTCCTGGACCCAAGTGGTCCTGGCCCTCCAGGGACTGACACTGCAGATGTGCACTGTCCCCATAAGAGCACACTGTTACGCTCCTTTGTGACATGTTTAAATTTCCCACCTATCCAAGAAAACTAAAACTTCTTAAAAACAGTAAGTAGGACTGTTGAGTGGGACAGGGCTCTCTAAGACACAGCAAGACAAATCCAGATTCTAACTGTACTGATCAGAAAAAGGTCGCCGCTTGGGCAGGGCCTGCTGTGGGAAGCTGCGAGCTGAGCTCTCAAGTGCAAGAAGGCAGGTCAGGCTGCAGAGGGGAGGCCACGCAAGCAGAAAGCAGCCCCTGAATGAAGGGCACAGACATGAGAAAGGTCACAGTGCACAAGGGAACGCTGGGTGAACCAAGTGCAAGGTGATGGTGATTCAGTCCATTTCCTGCTTTCCCAGAAAACACCCACCAGCTCTGCTTGCACCACAGCTTTTATGTAGTTAATCTTTGCTATTTTTGCCTAGAAGTAGCACCAACAATAGTTTCAGTATTTACCTACACTTTACACTGAAAATCAGTCAGCTTTGCCTCAGCTTCAAAAAGCATGTTTCTATAAAAACTAAATGTGCACTAGCAGCAAGCTGCACTTTTCTCAACAGGAAATGGATAAAAAGTTGTACTGAGGTAATGCTGTTGCGCTCTATGTCCAAGTCTATCACACAAGTTACTGACTGGATTATTAAATGGGGTTTCCAAAACAAGGGCTGATTAGGGCTAGGGATTTAGCTCAGCGGCATAAGCACCTGCCTTGGAAACAGGTGGTCGTGAGTTCGATCCCCAGTACTGGTAAAAAAAAAAAACAAGGGCTGACTTTAGAAGCAGTTGTAGAAAAGAAGAAGAAAACCAGAAGCTACCAGAAAGGGAGACATTGCTTTGTCACTGAAACAAACAGAACAGAGGCCCTACCCTCCTAATTCCCTGCCACGTCTGGAAATGACAAAGGACCTGGTGCCACCAACCTGCAACTAGGGAGAGGGCGCTGCTAGCATTCACAGAACAGAACCCCAGAAACCCCAGGCAAACCTTCCCTGCAGCCAGGCCTAAGACTGGGCTTCATCACGAGAGATGATGGATCCACCAGCTGCCTAAGCAAATGATGTTTCTCTTAAATGACTCATGTGTTAGCATTTTAAGTAGGAAAACAAACACCATAATAAACAGAAGAAAAAAAATTTTTTTGTCTTTTTGAGGCAGGGTCTGATTATGCAGCTGAAGCTGGTCTTAAGCTCACTTTGTAGCCCAAGCTGGCCTCAAACTCACAATGATCCTCCTGCCTCAGCCTCCCGAGTGCTGCGACTACAGGCATGAACCCCATACCCAGCTAGAAGAAAAATTTTTAACAAAACTAAATTTCATGCCTTAGCAGGAAAAATAACTTTCAAGCAGTAGAAAAGAGTACATCTCAGAAACAATAGTTTTCAGTTTCCTAGTAACATCAATCACAAAGCACAGAAAAATTACTAATAAACACATTTATTGCATCTTAATATTCCACAAAGGGGAAATAAAAGCAATACATACCTATACAGTCCTGATTATCCACATAATGTACTTCATTAACACCTAAGCCTTCTTTCTGATAGAGTTCTTGTTCCTATATATGAAATAATCATAATTATACATACAAAATACTATATTAAATGAAGTCTATGTTTTATGCTGTTTCTAATCATAACATTTATTAATAAAATGCAAAGGTTTATACCAATTAATATAGCCCTAACTGGTATCTAAAGACAATAAATTTTGAACACTGACAGAGAGGCATTATATCAAGGATGGCAATTACTTACAAATAGGCTCTAAAACCTTCACAGTGATATGACATATATAAAGTGTAAATCATTTGTGGAAAACTATGTAATCTGTAAGATTAATATATAAATGAAAACCAATCACTAGAAGTAAACCTAGTATTTTCTTAAGCTTTTTTGAAAAAGATTTTATGTTGTCCATTGAAACTGAATCTGAATTTAAATTTCACATTTATATTAAAGGATTATTATAAGAAAGGATTGTTACAGCTCTCATTTCTATGTAAAGCTTCTTGCTGGACTGCCATGGAAAGAAAAGATTAGGGGACTTTAAAAGCAAGGAATGAATGTAAAATTTCACATGGCAATGGAAGGACTAATGTGACTAGATAAAACATGTTCAAAGGAACTATTGTGCTGATAAATATTTATTTCATCTGTTTTATTACAGAAGTGGCTTACCTATATCATATAAGTAAAATGTACAAAAGCTGAAAAGGTACCAGGAAGCCCATAAAGACAAAAATATAGTAAAATTGTGGGAAGAGATACACCACTGAACAAATGGACTTAAATATCTACACTTAATGCTTCAGCCAACAGAAACAGAAAACATATTTTTCTCAGCAGTACACAGAACTTTTTCAAAATACTGCAGGCCATAAAGTATGCTTAAATACAAAACATCTGAAAGAATTCCCTGCATACCACTGGATCATAATAGAATAAAACTAGAAATCAACAGCAGAGGAAACCAAAGAAACAACACAAACACTTGGAGATTAAATAATATCTTCTTCTATAATCAATGGATCACAGAAGAAATTAGAAAACTCACAGAATCAAATAACAATGGAAACACAACATACCCAAACCCATGAGGCACAACAAAAGCATTCTAAGACAAATGTTCATGATGGTGTATGCACACATTAAAAAAGATAGAGGGCCAGGGATTTAGCTCAGTGGCATAAGCACCTGCCTGGCAAGCACAGGATTATGAATTCAATTCCCAGTACCAAAAAAATAAAAGGGGGGGACAGAACAAACCAAAATAATCATGCAAATCTACAACAATCCAAATCTGAAACTAACAAAAGAAAATACAAAGATCAGAGAAGAATCGGATTTTTAAAAGGTCAATGAATCAAGAACTTTAATCTTTGAAAGATTGAAAAAGAAAAGCACAGGACCTGATGGATTCACCACAAAATGTTACCAGAACTTCACAAAAGACCTAAAGCCACTATTTCTCAAATTCCTGCATTAATGTAAAAGGGAAGGAGCACTGCCAAAGTCAATGCTGTAAACAATCATTAATCTGAAATCAAAACCAGATATTACCAAAAATAAAACAAAACTACAGGCCATGCTCCTTAACCAACATAGGTGCTAAAATCTTCAACAGATTCTGGCAAAGAGAATGCAACAATTCACTAAAAATTCACCACTTGACCAAGTAAGCTTCGTCCCAGGGATGCAAAGTTGATTCAACACACATAAATTGATAAACATAACATATCATGTAAACAAAAGAAGGACAAAAAAATCACACACTCATCTCAATACTAGGCACAATGAAGGCTTTCAGAAAAAACTACTCATGATAAAAACCCTGAAGAAGACCTCCGGGAGAACATGGCAGACAAGTAAAAGCAGCCCCGGAGGCTCTCTGAGATTACCAGTTTAGAATCCAGGAGCAGTGCTGTGTGAGGAGTCCTATGCGAGGGGAGATGCACCCTGCCAACCCAGGAATTTGAAGTAAGCTGAGAGAAACCAACCGGAAATGCAATCCTGATGCTATAACAGGAACAGATAAAATGTCAGTGCGGAAGCTGGATCCCACACCATTGGAAGCCGCGATTTGAATTGCCTGCTGCCGATACTGCATCCCAATCCGCACAGCAGGGAGAGAGATGCGCGAAAGCTCTGAGAGCTGGAATCGGTGAATCAAACGGTGTTGAGAGACTGGCAGGGAGCCCTGCATTGACCTGTGGTGAGTGAGAGAAATGGGGATCCTTTCATAGACCAGGAGGCTCCAACAGAGGACATTCTGGGAACGAGCAGACTAGCCTAAACAGGGCCCTGCAGTAACTTTAGTCGCTTATTCCCCTCTCAAGCAGGAGTGGTGGTGGTGGGGAGTGCTTGGCCTGGTGACGCCGCGAACTAAGATCCAACAGGCTAGCGCAAATCATGTCCCTGCAACTGGTGGTGCACCCTAGCAGGGAAGCATTCAGTAGGTTGACCTGGAGGGGCGGGCCCAGCAGAGGCTGCCCAAGTCTGTGTGTCCCTAGTACACTGCAGTGGACGGGAACACCTAGTCAGCGGATTCAAACAAACTGCAACAGACAAAGAGAAAAAAAAAAAACTGGGCCTCCTACATACACTTGTATGGAAGGAACAAAAAGTATGGGAAAAGGGAGCAATAAGAAAGGGTCCTCAGTCCTCAATCCTGAGAACACTGATCTAGGAAAGGAAATGCAAAAGAGAATGAAGACAGAAAACATGCAATATCAGACATGGCACCTAAAGACATAAAGCGATATCTCCGGAGCCTTATAGATGAGTTCAAAAATGAAGTATTTAATGAAATAAATCAAGAAATAAGTAGAATAGTTAGAGAAATGCTAAGCACCACCCAAGAAAAAACAGATGGTGGAATGGAAGAACAGAAAAAAAGGGGAGAATTGTTTGATGGAGAAAACAGAGAAAATGTAGAATGAAGCAGGTTCAAAGAGATTACCAGGAAACTAAAAACTCTATTGAAAGCTGCCATAACAGCTTGAAAGAAACTAAGGATAGATTATCAGAACTGGAGGACAGATTTGTATGGTGGGAGCATGAAATGAAAAACTTCTTAAAAATAACAAGAAAACAAACAGCAATAATACAAAGACTAGAAAATGATAAGCGGATCTATAACTTAAGAATTAAGAACATAAAAGAAGTAGAGACTCAAACAAATGAACTACAAAAACTATTCACAGAAATAATCCAGGAGAATTTCCCTAATTTAGCAAAAGGTAAAGATACTCAGATGTATGAGGCATACAAAACCCCAGCCACCTAAAACCCAAACAGAGCTATACCCAGGCATATAATAATCAAAATTCCAGAAATCCAATATAAGAACAATATTAAAAGCCATCAGAGACAAGAAACAGATCACTTACAAGGGAACACCCATCAGAATTACAGCAGACTTCTCGGCACAAACCATCAAATCACGAAGAGCGTGGGGGGAAATAACTCAAGCTTTGAAAGATAATAACCTCCAGCCAAGATTGATATATCCTGCACAACTGTCCCTAGAAATTGATGGAAAAACAAGGTGCTTCCAGGATAAAGAGGAACTAGGGGAATTTGCAACCACCAATTCAACTCTACAGAGATTATTGCAGGATATTCTAAAAATGAAAAATACCAAGATTCCAGAAACAGTGGCAGAGCGGCCACAATGAATGGAGCAGAAAGCGAAATGAAGAGGACACACTGACAACTAATGACAGAAAAAGAGCTCAACAGAAATGAGGCAGAAAAGGTTGGATGGTAGGAACAGCCATTTTGGAGAAAACAAGACATCATAATAGCTAGTGCTGATTTAGTATCATCTTGCTTTGAAGTCCCATCAAGCTTTTAGTCTTCTGTCTCCATCGGTCTTAACAGGTTGTATCTTATTGGATTTTATTATATGTGATAATATAAGCAAAAACTTTTATAGACAAGGAGATTATACAGAAACCATTGTTTATTTTCTGATAGTTGGTTCTAAATACCCTGTAATACTGTCATTCTCTTGAGTGGTTTTACATTGTCTTGATATGTTTGGTACTACAGTATACGAAGTTATACTCAAAGATTTCAAAGAAAGAGACATTATGGTAACTACTTTTATGTCAGGATGTCTTGTGGTAAAACACTATTTTGCTTAAATGGTTATGCTTTGACCTGTGCTGTTTTGTTGTTATGCCCTCTTTTATCTCAGTCTCTTTTTTTTTAATTATTTACTTTTCTATTTTTCTTTTTAATTAAGGGAAAAATAAAAAAATAGGATACATTATAGTAACCCACTTTGATTTCCTATTAACTTGATTTGAAACTCTGTATTGCTGTCACCATCTTGTTTTGACTGATTTTCCTCTATTCTGTTATGCTTGATAGTACCAAGTTTGAAAGTATAGGCAACAACTATGAAGACAATAAAATTCATTGTGACGCCCATTCTGGTTGACTATTATCTTCTTTTGAAGTCCTCTAATGTCTCCAATGTTTTGGTTTTATTGGTCTTATTCTTTACTGTTTTGTTCAATTTTATTATAACTGATGACATAGGCAATTCTCTTTAAGATAACAAGAGGCATTATGATAACCATTGTTGATCACCTTGTATTTTGTTTTTACATTATGTATTTTGTCCATCCTTTTGATTTGACTGACTCTGTCCTGGTATGTCACATTTGGTTTTACTTTCTTCCAAAAAAAAAAGTAATAAGAACTGTGGGAGTAATAAAACCCAAAATGTGTAATTGTCATTATACAAAAGAAAGGAAAAGAAAGTTCTGTAAAAGACATAACTGCATATATATATTTAAGTGTATAAGATAGATAACCATATTACTGAGTTTTGTTGGATTATTGAACAAAACTGTTTGCAGTCTCACTGTTTGAAAGTCCCCTCTATATGCTTTAATTTTGTAACTGCAACAACTATTTCTAAGATGACAATATGTAATTAACTAGTGATTTCCTATTGTTTATTTTTTCTGAAATTCTGTATAACTTGTACCCTTTTTCTGTTTTTTTTTCTTTTTTCTCCTTAAATAAAATTAAAAACAAAAAAAAAAAACCTGAAGAAAACAGTTACAGAAGAACCTTGTCTCAATCTGATAAAATTTATGACAAACCTACCACCAACATAATATTAAACAGGCAAAAGCTGAAGGCTTTTCCTCTAAAATCAGAAACAAGACAAGGATGTTCACTATCAACACTCTTATTCAATATAGTACTCAAAACTCTAGCAAGATCAGTCAACATAAAGAAATAAAAGGAATATACATAGAAAAGGAAAAAATCAAGCTATCCTTATTCACCGATGACATGATTCTTTGCATAGAAGACTCAATTTCACCAAGGATCCTACAACTGAAACAAATGCAGCAAGCTATCAGTATTCAAATGCCACACACAAAAATCAACAGTGTTCCTGTACACCAATAATGAATCTACCAAGCAAGAAATAAGGCAAATATCATTTCCAATAGTATCAAGAAAAATTACTTATGAATTAACCTGACAAAGAAAGCAAAAGGTCTCTATTGAAAAAAAAAAAAAAAACCTCTGGAAAGCGAGATCAGAAAATGGAAAGGTACGCCTGTCACGGCCATACCTTCAAAATTGATACACAGATTTAATGCAACCCCAATCAAAATACAACAGCCTTCCTTACTAAACAAGAAGAAAAAAAAATTTTTTTAAACTCCTAAAATTTATCAGTAACAGACAAAAAAACCTTGAGCAGCAACAACAAAGCAGGAGGTAACAATCCAATTCCAAATGAACTGTATTCTAAATCTACTGTGACTAAAAAAAAAAAAATGGTAGTTAGCATGAAACAAGACAGTAGATCAATGGAACAGAACTGAGGATGCAAAAATAACCCAAGGTACTTTCAACTGTGGGATCTTTGATAAAAGGACCAAAAACATACGTTGGACAAAAGATGGCCTATTTACCAAGTGGTGCTGGGGAACGTGGTTATCCATATGCAGAAAAATGTGACTCTAGACTCTTATCTCTCACCCTGCCCTAAAATCAAATCAAAATGGACTAAGATTTTGACTGTAAAAACAGAAATCATACTACAACAGAAACACCAAATCTACTGGAAGATAAAATGTGTCAAACTCTTAAAGACATAACTGTAAGCAAGGCTCTTCAAAACAGAACATCAACTGCTCAAGAAATGACACCAAAAAAAAAAAAATCACCAAATGAGATTCTATCAAATTAAAAAGCTTCTGCATAGCAAGGGAAACAACCAACAGGGTGAAAAGCCAATCTACAAAATTGGAAAAAATTTTGCCATCTACTCCTTGGACAGAAGACTAACATCTAGAATATACAAAGAACTCAAATAATTAGATCCTACAAAAACAAAAGAGCCAATAAAAGAAATGGATTATTGGCCGGGGATTTAGCTCAGGGGCATAAGTGCCTGCCTGGCGAGCCTGAGGTTGTGAGTTTGATCCCAGTATCAAAAAAAAAGGATCACTGAAATGAATAAGACATCTGCAAAAGAAGAACTATAAATGGTTAATATATACATGAAAAAATAGTGACCATCTTGGGCCACTAAAATGCAAATCATGCCCAGTAATATAGCTTAGGGGTACAGCAACTGCCTGGCACGCACAAGGTCCTAAATTCAATTCCCAGAACAAAAAAAGAAACAGAGAGAGAGAGAGACAGGGAGGGAGAAAGGAAGAAAGGAAGAAAGGAAGCAAAGAAAAAGAAAGAAAGGAAGGACAGACAGAAGGAAAGGAAGGAGAGAAAAGGACAAAAGGAAGGACGGCAGGCAGGCAAATCAAAACAACACTGGAATTCCATCTTAAAATAAGAAATTCCATTTTACTTGAAAAGAAAAGAAAAATTTAGGAGGATAAATTCAAGCCATCTGTAGGAAAATGGATGTGACTTGAGAACCGCAATGCTAAGTGAAATAAACCACACACAAAGGTCAAATGTTGCACAGTTTCTCTTACATGAGAAACCCGAAGTATAAATACTTTCAAGTACAAAATAAAAGACACATCATAGTAATAGATTCTGGGAAATAGGAAGAAAATTTCCAAAGAGAAAAGAAACAAGGAAGGGAGAACGGGAAAGGAAGGAAGAGACAAGGAAAAAAAGAATAGAAGAAAAAATGGAAACAAAGCTTTTGTAAATAAGCAGGAAAGATGGTTAAAACAGAGGGGAAGAGAATGGGGAAAAGCAGCAAGATGGATCGTGTATGGTACAAACCTCCTGTGATGAATGCAATCACTAAGTAAATCTGAAGTGTACAAATGAAAGAAAAGAAGATCACAGGACACAGGGAGGTAGATTTGGTGAGATGGGAAGTGCATCTGGGGATGATAAGAGATGGAAAGTCAGGAAGGAGAGGTAAAAACTAAGATGCAACATGCATATGTACCAATTCTCCAAGAAAAGGGTTTTTATGTATTGAAAACAGACTAACAAAATAGTAATTCAACTATAAAAAACATAAATAGTTTATAATGACAATTACCTCCTTCAGAATCCTTTCATTAAAAAATTGTTGGAGTTTTTCATTGCAGTAGTTGATACAAAATTGTTCAAAACTGTTATGTTCAAAGTACTCTGAAAACAAAACCAGAACCAAGAGTCATTATGATCAGAGCAAGTTCATATAAATTTGTCTTACAATAAAATGTTATTGTGACAACGATAATTTAAGATTAGGCTACAAAACTCATTTACCTGTTCTACATTCCCTAAATGTTTTTATTTCAAGACAAATTTTGTTAGACATTAAAATTAAGTATTAGCTGGGTGTGGTGGCTCTCGCCTGTAATCCCAGCACTCCCAGCACCCTCCTGAGGCAGGAGGATCATTACAAATTGGAGACCAGCCTGGGCTACAAATACAAAGTGAGCTCAAGGCCAGCCTGAACTGCATAGTGAGACCCTGTCTCAAAAAACAAAAAACAAAATAAAATAAAAGTATTATCTTTAAGTATTAAAGATATCTAGTTCCAATTGACAAAAAAGGTGTCAGTCAGATGAGATAAATGTTATAAAGTAAAATACAACAGTCACAGTTTTTAAAACAGGTATGAAAGTAATCTAAAGCACAAATGACTTAAAACGTGATTATTCTACAGTTGTTTTGTGCTTGATCTGTAAAATTATAGTTATCAAAAACATTTTGGATACTGAGTCCTTTCTAAAATTAAGAGATTATCTTACATAATGTTTTAAGATCCATAAACTCTGAAATTTTATGATGTTCTATGTATATGTTGTATGAAAAATTACCGCAGATCAAGAAAAATATAACTTGTGGAAGACCACCTGGATGACTCTCCTTGAATAAAGAATAATTACCTCCACTTAGGCTAACTCTAGCTTTATTTGCGTTGCTTAGATTGAAGCAACTGAAAGGAGATAGAAATGGTTTAGCCGTCTCTGTACACATCAGTACATGAAAATAGAGCTGCTTAGCCAAAGTGGAGGTAATTACTCTTTGTTCAAGGAGAATCAAACAGGTGTTCCTCCACAATCTTTGAAGCGAGGTGACAGTCTCCAGGCTGTTTCCTTGCCCTGTGACTCCCTAAACACTGTTGAGCTGGGTGGGATGGAGACTTACCACTCCAGGGGTGTCAACTGCGTTTGGGACTCAAGATAACAGGCTATGACTTTCCAGGGCAGAAGTTTGCATGTCAGAGCTAAGGCACCACTGCCTGAACACTAACTGCACCTCCACTGTGCTATGCAGACTGGTCTTTCCGCATATCCTTCTCTCTGTGTACTGCAGAGATGCTTTCAGGCCTCCTACCCGGCCCAGCTCACAGGACTCACATATCTCCCACTATTCTCACAGTCACTGGTCCTCAAGCCACTCTCTTCTTTATAAATGAACAAAATCCAGGTTAGGCCCTGGGTCAAGGCCTTTGTTCCAAACTTAACATCCTTTGGCCCCTGATAATGATAAATACGCCTCAATGTCTTTATTCTCACCAGGTACTGCACTAGAAGTGGTAGACTGGAATTAATTCACTAAAATTCTGGTAACTTTTCCACAGGATTACAAATCTAAATTTCCCAGATTGCGATGAGGGCTAAAAAGAAATCTGTATAACTAAAGACAGTGAAATCTTAAGGCAGTGAGAGGGCTGCATCTGCCTCTGAACTAAAGGTAATAATTTATGGTATATTTTTAAATATACACATCGAAAACAAAACTCTGTTCCTCTCAAAACATAAATTTTCCCTCAACAGAGGCAAACAAATCACAAAAGAGACACTACCATTCCTTTCGAAGTAGAACACCCACATGACAGGGTTAAAAAACCACCAGATTTGCTTCGAAATCTTGGTAGCACAATCACTCAACACCCAGCAGAACACAGACTGTATTCAGCAATCCACGTAACATCTGGCTAAACACCTCCAAAGTTATTCACAATGACTTATTGTGGTGTCTTCTTCACTTGATGAAAAATGAACCAGAAATAACTATGTGCTGTTGACACTAGCAACGAAGTTTACACACAGCTGTGAGGATAAATTCTATCAGTAGTGGTCAAAACTATGACAAAGGGCCACAGCCAGCAGTTTGCTACCACTCAAAGTTCTCAAAGGTTTCTCATCACTGGTCTCTATGTTACATAAGCCTGTACTCAGGACTACACATTAGTCAATGGTTTTAGTGGCTTTATCTTTATTATTAAAGGTCAGGAGTTTATCTTTATTTCATTCATTCATTTTATTCATTTTATTCATTTAAGGGAATACAGGCATCTTAACTACACTGATTTCAATCAATATGTTTTAATCTTAGCTTTAGTGTAAGCAACACTATCCTCAAGGAGTCCTTTTTTAAAGCATCAGCTTCCCCGGCCTACATGCCTATCAACAGATAAATGGAGAAACGGTATGGTGTGGTATGGAATACTACTTGGCTATAAAGAAGGATAAATCCATGTCATCTGTAGGAAAATGAATGTACCTTGTAACCACAATGCTAAGTGAAATAAATCAGACAAGATTAAATATAACATGGTTTCTCTTATACGAGAAACCCAAAATACAAATAATTTAAAATGCAAAATAAAAAGTTACATGATAAGAGACAGGGAGGTAAACCTTGTGTAGATGGGAAGGGGATCTGGGGATGAGGGAGACAGGAGGAAGAATACAGGAAAAGGAAAAAAGACAAGAGATGCAATACATACATGTGCTCATTTGGACTGTGTTTGGTATCTGTCCCAAACACACAGTGTTAAAGAGGGGAAAATGCAAAACCGGGGGGCAAGGCGGGGCAGGAGGAGTGAAGGAGAGTAACAATGATCAATGCTGCATACAAGCATGGACCTGCCAAAACAGAACCCGCTGAACACAGAGCCCACGCACACTAACAAGAAGTGAGGCCGTGGAGTGTCAGCTCCCCAAGGAAGTCACGTTCTGAGACACCAGTATCAGCATGTAACTCACAATATAATGAGTGGAAGACATTAACGAGAGTTTTTAAACATGTTTTCAATGTATGAAAATAAATACCAAACAAACACAAACTCACAAAGAATCTAACTTACCAAAGCCAGCAATATCCAAGACTCCAATAAAATAAGAGGATGTTTCAAAAGGAAAACACTGATTCACTCTGTTCACCACGTGGTCGAAGAGATGGCTGTAGACAGTCTTCGCGAGCGCGTCCCGGGCATTGTTGGCTTGCTCCACTTTCAGGGGGACTCTAGAGGAGAAAAGGAAAGACTCTGCCGCAGCGGTGCAGTGAGGAGCCAGAGGCCCTAAGCCAGGAGCGTCTGGCACACTCACTGCAGCAGCAGCACAGAGGAAGGCAGCTAAGGAGAAAGCACCAGAAAAGAACCACAGCAGTTAGTTAAATTCTGCACCAAATTAAACTGACTGCAGCTTTACACTTCACTTTACACACTGAGTATATAAAGATTACTTAGAGGAATAATCCTCTGTTAGACTTTCCTAAGTGCAAGAGACACTGTTTAATTCAATATGATTTTAAATTTGGGTAACTTATTTCCTTGTTTAGGAAAAAGAAAAGTCTGTATCTTAAATTTGAGCTGCCTAAGTCTACTACATATCTAAGTACAAGATACAACAGAATAAGATTTGCAGATAAAGAAACACAGCTAATTTTCTAGAGGAAAATAACAGTCTCATAAACAGAGCTGGGACAGGAGAATTTCCAAATACTGGGCTAAGCATGGGCTCAATGGGAGACCCAAAATAAAACAAGTCAAATTTGATTTTTGTTTTTAAGGGGCATAAAGAGGATTATCAGGCAGAATTTAAAAAACAAGTCTGAACACTGAGATTCCACCTCAGCCCAGAAAGAATGGCTATCATCAAGAAATCAACAAATGCTGGTGGGGCCATGCAGGGGGAAAGAATTCTTTTCCACTACTGGTAGGAGTATAGACTGCTGCAACCACTGTGGAAATCAGTGTAAAGATCCTTCAAAACACTAAAATTAGAAGTTTGACTGAGCTATTTCCTTTCTAGGGATCTTACCAGAAGAGTTAAAAGCATTATACCACAGCGATACATGCTCACACATGTCTACTGCAACACAATTTATAGTAGCTAAATCTTAGATGACCATCAACAGAAGAATGGACAATGAAAATATAGTATTTATACACACAGTGGAGTACTACTCTGTCCTAAAGAAGTATAAGTTTAAGTTACTTGTAGGTTAACAGATGCATTGGAAGACCATAATTTTAAGTGAAATAAATCAGGCACACAAGTTTGAATATCACACTGTTTCTCTTCTGTGAGAAACCTAAAGCTGCAGAACAGAGGATAGATATCGCGAAGAAGGAAAACATGTACAAATGGGAAGAGGAATGCAGGGAGGAAAGGACATTAAAAAACAGAATGGAAGGGAAAAATAAAAACAAAGCTTCTGTCAGTGGGGAAGGAAAGAAAGGCTGAAGACAGGGAGGAGAAGGAGAAAATAAGAATTAAGATATATATGTATAAATTCCTCATGATGAATATGATCATTATGCACAGTAAATATATATCATAAAAAATAATCAAGTAAATAAACTTTAAAAAATAACAATAGAAAACATGTTTGAAATGGAGTATGGGCCCTCCAGACAAAGGGGTGCTACAGGTTGCAACTGGGGATATTTATGTGCTTTGGGGGTAGAACTCTGTGGAATCTGTCAATCTACAGAAAGTCTGGGCTTGCTTCATAGGAGAAACTCTTAAGTTACCATTAGTTGAAAGACAATGGCTCCATTCACACATGAAAGGATGCCCTATTTTGGAGGGGAAATCCGGGTACCACTTTATTATCTTTCTTGGGGTCAAGTTTCTGCCCTAAAAAAAAATCAAACATGGAGGTATTTTTAAAGCTCAAATATTTAGGTCAGCCCAATACTTGAGTCTCCAATAAATGGGATGCTTCCTGCTTACACTGCCTGCAATGGAAATTTCTCTTGAAGTGAGTTTTTCATGGCTACCCCATCCAGGAAACAAAAAGAACTACTTCGAAAGAAGGTAGAAATCTGAGGGCCTCTGCTGGCCTTTCTGAGCCATCCCTGGCACCCTGCAAGGAACTAAGCAAAAGCAGGCCTGTCCCAGCACTGATAGAAAACATCTTCCAAGTGCCAGGTGCTCAGAGGCAGGCTATGGGGAATGATGGTTGGTGAAGGCACCTACTTCCCCAGAGGATGGACAGATCCACAGACAGAATCATAACCTGAGCAACAGTAAGAGGAGACAGAAACTTAGGACTTCGGTGCAGTTGGAGGGTGTGGGCCTGGGCCTGTGACACTGCAGAAATCTTCCCTGAGGCCTTCCTCTCTGCTTCCCACCAGTCAAGAAGTGAGCAGCAGGGCTGGGGATTTAGCCCAGCGGCATAAGCACCTGCCTTGCAAGGTCGCTTGCAAGGCAAGTCATGAGCTTGATCCCCGGTACCAAAAAAAAAAAGAGTGAGCAGCTTCCAACGTCACACCCTTCCACCACAAGGCTGCACTCACCGCAGGCCTGAAAGCAATGGAGCTGGCTGACCACAGATCAAAACCCTGGCCAGTGAGCCCCCAAAATATCTTTCCTCCTTCAAGTTGTTTTTCTGAGGTATTTGGTCACAGAGATGAAGAAACGACTAACTCAAGTACTGCTCTATAAACTCCCCAGAGCTTTTCTTTATGATAATAATAATTTACAAGTAGAAAAAAAATCAGGCAAAGCACACCTTCCTAATTTCTCTAAAAGTATAAGAGGTAGCAAAAGTTTTGATTGGTTGAAAGCTTTTCAAAAATCTTTAGTTCGGTGAGGCAGCACACACCTGTGGTCCCAGCTACATAGGAGGCTGAAGCAGGACTGCTTGAGCCCAGCAGTTCAAGCTCAGCCTGGAAAACCTAGCCAGGCTCAGTCTCTTAAAAAACAGAGAAATATAAGAAAATAAATAAAACAAAAATATTTCATCATGAACAGAAAATCCTTACATTAATTTTTAAATATTTCTGAAATAAGTCATTATTTCAGTCTGCCATATTTACAAGGGAAAGAGGGATCTGACCTTGTTTCCTTACAAATGAAACTTAATTACCATTTTCACTGTACAGTTCCAAAAATATAAATGCATGAAGTATAGGGTCCTGAGCCTAAACTGTACATATACCTTGGCATAATCTACATATAAGCCCTTAGTTACTAGCTTTAAAAACCTAGGCTGGGCCTTTATTTGCTTCCCATTTACAATTTCCTCTAAATGAAGAATTCAAAGGACAAGGAAAAATTCCATTTGCTGAATACTCCATTAAAGTTGTACCAAGTAAAAGTTTCAATTCACATCATTTGCATGAAAATCACTTTTAAAGTTAAATGACCCATTGCCTAAAACAGTCCGATATTGATTTACATAATGAACTCATATTCTTCTAGTTGTGCAAGAGTATATCTGTCTCTTACCTTATAAATTTTAAATCTGTACAGAAAATAGCTATTAAAACTTTTAAGCTGGGTGTGGTGGCACACACCTGTAATCCCAGCACTTGGGAGGCTAAAGCAGGAGGACTGCTGCAAATTTGAGGCTAACTTGGGCAAAAGTGAGTTCAGGGGCAGCCTGAACTATACAGTGAGACTGTGTCTTGAAAAACAAAAAACAAAAAAACTTTAAGAGCCACTCAAACTTCTATGTATTTATATAGCAGACAAGGGAAATCAAATGTACAGAATTTTGATCTACCAAACACAGATTTTTTTTTCCTTTTTTATCAGTAATTGGGGATCAAACTCACGACCACACACTTTCAAGGCAGGCGCTTATGCCACTGAGCTAAATCCCCAGCCCCTAGCACATATTTTTTTAAAATATTAAAATGAAAAAAAAATCCAAGGGATATAAAAAGATCAACCTGAAATCTCAGTGTTCTCAAAAATTTTTTCCTTGATAAACTGCAAGGCAAGATTTTCTAAAGCAAGGAGCAAGGAAACTTACTTTATAACTGTTCCTTTGGTGCCCCCTGCTGTCGTTAGCATAACTCTTGTGGTCAAACTTACTCGAAGATCATCTTGGTCCAAACCCAGTAACTCAGCACAATATTCTAATGACTGAGTAGATTTGTTCTTCAGATTGCAACCACCTAATAAAATACATTTTAATTTGAAATTAGTATTATTTAAAACAGGTCTTCTAGGTTTAGAATTAAACCTCGCTTATGTAAAAGTATGGAACTTGACCAGGTTTGTAACTCTTACTCCCACCTCACTTCTCCCCACCCTCAGGAGACTCTCCTGTACCAAAGTCAAAGAGACCCTGACTCAAGGGAAGTCCATAGCCTGCACTTCTGCTTTCCACAGTGTCAGCTACTGGCCATTAAGTGTGGTCCAAAAATAGCATGTGGAAGATCCCAGAAATAAGCAACTGGTAAGATTTAAATCATTCACCCTTCTGAGCATCATAACAGAATCTGTGTCACCTTTCCAAGGACCTGAATCATACCATTGTTTAGTGCACTCATACTAAAATTACATAATTCTCCAAAAGTTTACCACCAAAAATTCATTTATATATATATATAGCTTCTTTTTATAATATTGCAAAGTTTCTTATATAACTCCAGGAATTATGAAAGTTAGAATAAGCCATTTTTAAGTAGTCTTAAAAAGGAAAAAGGCTATAAAATAATGTAAATTTTCATGTCTCCCTTTCTAAAAAAAATTCTTTGAACATTTTAAAAATATACGGTCATAATAACATACATGTTTGTTACATGAAATTTCAAACACACAGGCATTCCCAATAGGTACATTCTCCCTTTCCATCATTCAGGTTTTTTAAAAATGACTGTCTTATTACTGAAGAATAAACTTTCCAAATAAAACAGCTCTTTTTTTCCAAATTGCTAGGACATGCCAAGCACTGAGCTCTCTGGAGGCGGGAGAATAATGGTTCTAATTTAAGAAATCATTTGGACTTATGGGAGGAGTCACAGGAAAGATTAAAATTAATACAATAAAACTGTAGCTATTTTAAATTAGAATAACCCAGTTTATTTATCTCTTTATCCACTGCCTTCCCTACATTCTCCTCATCTCCCCTGCAAGAAGGAACTTGGAGCAGAAAAACAAGAGACAATGTGCCATGTCCCTCTAAGGAACATTAAATGTTCTTTAACTAACTGGACCATATGACATCTGAGATATTCCCTCTGTGTGACTCTGACATGATCAGGGCAATTGTAAGGTCACCCATCACAAGGATCTGTAGTCTGGGGAAATGAGGGACAATTCTGACAAGGTCCTGGTGTGAAATAGTGCCTATCATTTCTAACAACACTCCCAGCTGTGCCAATTATTATACACTTAAAGTCTTTTCTGTGTGTTGCTCTGAGTCTCCCACATGCGCCCTTCATAGAATAACATGAAGAAACAAATGAAATGAATATTAAAATTCACCAAACATTCAAAATAAATTTTCCAATGACTCTAAAACAACTGATAACATTAATGTGCATTTAAAAATAACCTAATTTTGCTTGAGTTGTCCTCATTTCGAAAGGGAAGTAATCTTCATATATATATAGCCTTTACAGTGAATGTGATGTGCCAAACACAAGTATGTGAATCACTGTATAAAGATTTAGCCATCAGGCTGGGGATTTAGCTCAGCAGCATAAGCGCCTGCCTTGCAAGTGCGCGGTCCGAGTTCGATCCCCAGTACCAAAAAAAAAAGCAAAGATTTAGCCATCTACATCCCTTCACAACCCGAGGTAGGAGCTACGTTACCCCCTGTACAGTGAAATCCCTCCCCAAGGTCATCAGCAGCCAAAACATGGTGATCTGCTCTGATTTAAGAAGGCATGCACTCATCTGTTATGCTGTGTTGTATCTCACATTATTGATTTCCCAGGAAATTGAATCTAAAAGTCATTCAGACTGTCCATTCCAGTCTGCTCGCCCACAGATCACAAGGTTCAGCAGCCTGGGACACTAAGGGATGATCACTACAAGTTCCTGACTGAAGCACCTTAGAGAAGAACCAAGCTCTCACACCTAAAATATCATCCATAAGCACACACATTACTCAAATTCTCCATAGGCTCTACTTCTGCAAAATGAAGATGGTATCACCTACCTCATTATTTCTGTAATATTTCAACTGCGATTATATTTCACATGAAATACAGATTAAGAAGAGTAATTTTTTTCTCCTTTTTGGCGATCTCTGGATTTGATCCCAGGACCCACAGAATTCTATACAAGTGCTGTATTGCTGTGATACAGTCCAACTCTGGCACACTTTTAAATGTTCAACTTTCTGTGAGTGCCCCTTTTTTACAGGGATATTCTTGTGAAGCACTTCACTTTAAAAGCACTTTGGATTATTTCATTTTGCAAATAAAAACCAACCACAGCTTTGAGAACCTCAGGATCTGATACAGAAACCCACATTCCTGGACTGCTACCAGAGGCGGTGCTGCGGGCTGTCCCTGGCTCAGCCTTAGTATAAAATTCAGAATAATGTATTAATGCAGGCTGATCATCTTTCTCTCTCCAGGGCCAGACAATAAGTATTTTGCCTTTGCAGGATGTGCCATCTGTAAGATAACAATTCACTACTGCACTGTGCCACAAAAGCAGACGTTACATGGGTGGATGGGTGTGGCTAGGTTCCTGTAACATCGTAGTTATAGGAACATGTGCCCACCTGGATATGACTACCGGCCATACTTTGCCAACTCTGTATTCATGAATCAAAGTTAGAATCATGCAAAGTCTAATTATAAGAAATTGAAACATGGGAGTAGAAAAGTTACTATTCACTAGGCATTCAGATGTTCTTCAATTTCCGTAAGAATGAAAACTTTATTTTCATTTCCTACTACCAAGGAATGGAACCCAGGGCCTTTACACTAAGCTATGCCTCCAGCTCTCTTGTTTTTTATTTTGAAACAGAATCTTGCTATATCTCTAAATTGCCCACACTGGGCTTGAACTTGGAATCCTTCTGCCTCAGCCTTCAAGAGTACTGCAATTACAAGCATGAGGCACTATATTCAATTAAGTATAAAGGTTTAAGGGGCTGGGGATTCAGCTCAACGGCATAAGAACCTGCCTTGCAAGCAGGTGGTCGTGAGTTCAATCCCTGGTACCAATAAAAAAAAAAAGTATAAGGGTTTGTATGTGTTAAACTGCCCTAAGCAATTAAATGATCCAAATTTAGACAGTTAACTAGAAAATTCTCAAAAAACATCTTAGTAGATGACAGAGAATTAACCTGTTAATTATTAAAATAATTTACTTGGAAAATTTAACTAAATATAACCCTACTAGTCAGTGCTACTAGTTTGTTCAGAAAAAAGCTCACAATGAAGTATGTGATTTGCCAGATTCATCATCTGATTTGTCAGATTCATCACAGTATGTTCTACAAATTCCTAGAAATTTTAACAAACTTGCATATATTAGATGACTTTCATATGACCAAGAAATGACAGAAATTATAAATTTATTTCTCTAAAACAGAACAAAACAAAACCTGAAGTGCTGCCAGCTTCTTCAAAATCAATATTTCCAAGGTGCAGGACACCAGCTACAACTCGGAATAGATCAAGTTTTTCTTCATCACCCAAGCCAATCTTTTTCATGGCTGTGCACATTCGAATGAAATCTCCATGATCATCTAATAGAGGGTCTTTCAAGGAACCAGCCTTAAGATACTACAGCACAAAAAGATATCAATTAACTAGTCTTAATCTTATTTAGTAAATGAGAAATACTTAACAGGTCTACTACTACAATACAGAACATGCAAAAATAAAATCTGTCAAAGGAAAAACTTAAGCATTTTATTAGCACATTCCAAAAATTACTAAAAGTATACAAAAGATCTCTATTTTTTTCTTAAAACTACAATTCTACAAATATTTACATAAAACTTTCAATTAAAAGAAGGAATGAGATGATCTGTAATTAAATTAGAACTTTAACTCTGAAATATTAGATAAAGGTATAAATGCAGAGAACCAGGAGAAAATAACTATGACTGAAATAACCTCAGATCATAAAGAACTGAGTGGTAATAGATACATTAATAATTTAATTATTTCTAAACAGTACATTGTGCCCTAGTATGTTTACATATATATGCAATTTTTGTCAGTTAAAAATAAACAAAAAAGGTTAGAAGTGCAACAAAAATATAAAGGTGACAATTAGCACTACACTACTATATGTTAGGTTAACTTCCACCAAATGCACCAGTGTTAAAAGGAAGTATACACCAGGGAAATAATTTAAACTGCAGGGTTGAGAATTTTTGCGAACCTTTTTGTATAAGTACATAGAGGGCAAAGTGCATTAGTAACCATATAATTACTCTAAGAATTCATACAACTTAAAATATTTTTGAAAAAAAATGAAGAGAAAATCTGCTTTCTCTTTTAAAAGAACTCACATCTAAAGGATTCATTTATTAGAACCTACAAAAACTCAGAAGAAAAGATGAAAGTTAGGTTCACAAAAGCCAGGAAAAAAAAAAACATGAAAAGTTACTAGACACAGAATGGTCTAGAAATTTTCCAGAACTTGAATAGGAAGATACTAAAATCAGAAAACAGCATCACCATTACTTGACATTAAAGTTGCCTCTGGATGTTTTTTCTTAACAGTAAACAAGTGCTTCCCAGTGAAAGTTGCAATTGTCTTTCCACAATAAAAAAAAAAAAAAAATCCTGGCTCATTTCTGCGCTTTTTGTTGCACTGAAGATTAAACTTAGGGCCCTCATATTGAACTACTCCACTGGCCCTCTAAAAAACTTTTGGGCAGGGTCTAATTATGTCACTAAATTGCCATTGGTTAGGCTCAAATTTGTGATTCTCCTGCTTCAGCTTCCCACAGTGTTGGGTTATGGGCATGTGCCAATGCTGTGCCCCGGTCTGCCAAATTCTTTGAAATGTTCAATTATGTGTGAAGTTTCTGGAAAATGTCTAAAACATGGAATTCCACTGTATTCTTAAAAAGAAGCAAAGGAAGCAAGCACATGCAGCCAGAGTTAGCAGAAAACACAAATGCAGAACTTTTAGTCTGCAATGGAACATTTGCGTCATTTAAAAAATTTTTTCTAATCAAATGTTAATCAATACATTTACTATATGGCAGACTAAAAATACTGCACCCTTCTAAAAATTACACTCAGCTTAAAGACATTCAAAAGAAATTAGGCAAAGGTTTAATTAGTCAAATGATCACCTCTTCCTCCTGATAAAGAAGACATAAAAAGTAATTTAAACATTATTAATGCACTGTTCAACTACATACAACATATACCTCTCCCTCTAGTAATGTGAGTGAGATTTCTGACACAGTATCTGCAGCCAGAATAAGAAAGGATGCACTTCCTATCTGGGAGCACGTGCCATCTTTCTGTCCTTTCTTCTAGTTTCTATGCCAAAAGATCACATTCATATGTATAATTTTATGTATTTATCTATTTTTATATATGTGTAAAATGTGTATTTTTCCACTTACTGACAGCTGCAATGTCCCAGGAAATATTTTGATTATCTCAGTGGAAAAATACAACTTTATTTTTGAAACTATACTTTTAAAAGTATAGTCTTATCAAGACAATGAAAGATACCATGATAAATATTAATGTTGCATTTTAAAGCCCCTATCATGGCTGCAACATAGTTTATGATTTATAATTCAGATATCTGTGTCTAAAATGATACAAAAGTGTTAATTTAAAAATTTACCTGCAGACTTATCTGCTTAGAATCTAAAATGATGTGAAATTTTTGTCTTTCTGTTCATCGGTATAAATATACATTAAGACAAAATTCATCTTACCCATTTTGAGGAGTCAAAATAGCTGGCTCACACATGTGAAAGAATCAAAGACTAACTACAATAAAAACTTGTTTAATTAAGTATCAACATAAATCATTTAATAAAAATCAATAACGGCATTACCTAGAACCCATAACTATTCTTGATTTCATTTTTATAATTTGTCTCTTCTAAAGACACAATTTAATTCCATTTAAACATGACATACTAAAATTTATAAAGTGGATAAAAATTTAATGTTTTTAAAAGTAATACTTAATATATAACTATAGTTAATTACTCTTAGAAATTGAATAATTTAATGAGATCAAACTACATTTTATAATTTATTCCAGAAAATAATGTTTTAAAGAGAGATACTATCATACATAAGCAACCTTTCACAAGAATGTATAATCTATTTCTTGCTGGTTTCAAACTTCATTCAAACCTTGAAGCAGACAATAAAGACATATTTTATACTTAATTCCAAACAGGTAATAAAAAAAAAGTTTCAACGTGCTAAAAGATGATGATTACTGGGTAACTCGAGCTTCACAGAAAGAGGAAAGCTCTGAGGCTCCACAGATGCCACGAAGGATAAAGTATTACACAATGGGGGCTGGAACGAGGACCAAGATTTTTAACAATAAGCCTAGAAGTAAAAATTTTATTTGGGCTCCAAAGTAAAAATGTTTCTTTCAATGTGATTTGTTCTGCATGAAGCATTTTAATTTTCAAAAACGGTCTACTATACCTCAGGACTTTTGCGGTTCTGTGAAATCTGTTTGTCAGTTTCTTTGTTAGCAAAGTATCTGGTGCAGCCTCGGTTTAAATACTATGACAAAGAAATTTAAATACAATTAATATACGTGATCTACAGAAAATACAAAAGAAAATGAATTTGTCAGATAGTATTAACCACAATGAATTTCTAAACACGAGTATCAATTGCTCAGTTAAAATCAATACTTTTATAAGAAGAGGAAGAAGGGTTAAAGGGAAGATGGGAAATGGAGAAAAAAAAGAATCAAGCTCTATAATGTACAGGCGCAAATTCCCTATGATGAATACGATAGATAGATAGATAGATAGATAGATAGATAGATAGATAGATATAAACAGATAGACATGTCATACCAATAAAGTCAACTTTTAAAAATCAATACTTCTAAGCCTTCACCATCCTGTAATGATTTGTTTAGTTCTATAATGTTCAATATGTATTCAATGTGTGTGAAGATGGGGACAACTATTTGGAAGAAAACTAGAGACAATAAGATAGTGAAGATCTCCTGTGGACTTGCTTTGAAATCTGTGTTTCTTAAAATTGTTTCCTTATGATCTGTTTTGTTATATTTAATCTTACCCTTTTTAAAATAAATTTTAAAAACTAAAATAAAAAATAAATACTTCCACATTTTATAAGCATTTTCATCCAACAAATAAAGATATCTAAAAATTCTAATCTCTGAAAGTAGATTAAATGCAATGATTTATAAAGTAAAAGTCAATACCATAACCTTCTACTTTTAAAAGCCTGCAATGCTATACTTCTAATATCACATATCTTTTTTTAAACATAGTTCATACCAGTAAACACTACAGACAATAATGAAAACACCTCTCCAGAAAATATGCAGACTCTCAAAGGAATATATGATAGTTTAATATTTCAATACCTTGAATTCTGAATATTTAACGAATATTATCCTTTATTCTTAATTTTAAACTGTTCTTCAAAGCATGACTTTCATATTTATTGACAACAGTGACTATAAAACACAGGATTGAATTTATGGATCAAATATTTCAGTTTTATTTTAATATTTACATTGGTCCTCCAAAGTACTGTAAAAGCTAAGTGCTTTCAAAACATAGAACAAAAGAAGCCACTATGTGAAAACAGAGGTTAGCACTTTAAATTTCAGATTTTTGTATTGGGATGCTCACTTGGTGAAGTCTATGCAAATATTCCAAAATCAAAAGAACTCCAAACTCTGTCTTCTTTTGGTTTCATTTTGTTTTTAAAGATAAGGTCTCCCCATGCATTTCAGGCTGGCCTTGAACTTCTCTAGCCTCATCTTCCCACATGCTGCGATTACAGACATATGCCAACACACCCACGAAACTCTGATGCTTCTGACCCCAACCATGTCAGATAAAAGATACCCAATCTATGACATTCTGTCACAGTGAGAACCTATTACAGTAGTCACATCCATAAGGGAGTCAGGAAGCAAATACACAGAAAATTGAATGGAAAAAAATGTTTTTAAGCATATTGGCTTCTCTTAAATCAGGTCATTAGGATTTCACTATAAAATAGCATGAATTGGGCCACAGATTTATTTAGCTCAGAAGCATAAGCTGGCAGGTATAAGTTGTGAGTTCAAACCCTAGTACCAAAATATAAACAAATAAAATAGCATGAATTACAAGATTAAAAATAATATACTATATGTATGAAAAGTTACTGTAAATGTGACTAGTTTAGAGGATATTTTAGAGGATCAATGTATCTATCACTCCCTTCCATTATAATACCAAAATACAGCAAAATCAGACAGTGACACCACAGGTTTGTGTTTTTTGTTTTTTGTTTTGTTTTGTTGTTGTTGTTGTTGTTGTTGTTGTTCTTTCCTGAATCTTTAAGGTAAAAAATGGAGAAGAAATATAAGGCTGGTAAGCATTTTCAATTGACTGATTTTTTAAAAAGCTCTTCTTACTTAGTAGAGTAACTGCAATTTAAACATAAAGCCGAAACAAATGTTTTACTTGCTAAAAAGTATTTTATTTCTCAATGCTAATATCTCATTCAACTATTTGACTTATAGACAATTAGACCTAGCATTAGTCCCTAGCCCAGGACTTGTACAAGGGCCAGGATTCAATTCCCAGAGCTACAAAACTTTAAAATCCAGAAACACACTTGTTTCTTTCAACTTATCTACATCAGAAAGCTGTAATCATTCCTACCACTCTATCCAGCTTTCATTATATTCAAGGATATTTGTATCACTATAGCAGATATTTCCATAATCTATAAAAATATTTTAACACTTTTAATAAGATGGGCATTTTAAATGTTTTATTTCCTAAAACACAGTATTATTTCCTAAAACACAAGTATTTATTTCCTAAAACACAAGATAAATGTTTCCAAACAAGTATATTTCTACCATTCTTTACGCACAAATTCAGATAAAATGATGACAAAAAAATTCAACTATTTTAGGAGCACATACCCTAACACAGGGCTCCGCTTTGTATGCAACATGATTTATCAGGTGTAACTAGAAGACTTAACCTTAGAAAAACTGATGAAATTACCAACATTTTCAAATGTATTTAAAGCTGAATTCTTTGGGGAAGGGAAGAAAAGAGTGTAAGCTGCCGTGAGAGAAATATGTGAGGTGGCAGATGTACATTTTTCACTCTGCCTATTACAAACAGGACTGCATTGGAACAAAGGAAATCATGCTGGCTGATCCACTTTACAAAGGCCAAATCGTTAAAGTTTGGATCATTCAGTATAAATTACATTCCTTTTCTAGCAATAGTGGAAAACTGTATCTTCCATTTCCATGAAGATGATAATGTTAGCAACTAACTTCAAATTCCAATTAACCACGTACCAGTTTACCCCAAGCATCAAGTGGGCAGCACATTTGTTTATATGCTAAAGTCAAAGACATGCACAAATCCAGCACCCACTTTTGTAGTTAAGCACTTCAGTGGCTCTCTGGCTTCCCTCTCATGACTTCCTACCTTTCTCTTTAATATGATTCTTGCCTTTCTTTGTTCATCTTTTTGGCATCTACCGGAAATACTTTTTGCATCTTTCTTCACCTAGTGGACACTTGAACATCACTCAGAATTCTGATCAAATAATCCATTCTTCCAGTAAGCCTTTCAATATCCCTAGAGGCTGCAACAGCATTCTATGTATACTTCTTTCTTATTCAACAGATCAAGCAGACTCTTGTGTACAGTTCTCACACCATTATAAGTGCACAGAAGCAGGGACTGTGTCTCATTTATCTTTTTAATTCTGGTACAATGCCTGACACCTAATGGGCGGGCAATAAACATCTGCTATTGAAGTGAATTACAGAATACAACTATATGTCCTTTATTAATACTAATTCAATGACCAAACCTTTTTTTTTTTTTTTTTTTTTTTTTTACAGGTAAGTCAAAGGTAACTTCATTGTACTCAAGGACTTCAGGGAGGGAGTCAATATGGTAACTATTTTTGGGTCAGGATTATCTGGTGGTGAAACACTATTCTGCTTAAATGGTTATGTTTTGATCTGCCCTGTTTCGCTGTTATGCCCTCTTTTTTCTCAATCTCCACTCCATTATTTACTTTTTTATTTTTATCCATTTAATTAAAGGGAAAAATATAGCAGGATATAATATAGTAACCCACTTTGACTTTCTATTATCTCGATTTGAAGCCCTGTATTACTCTCACCATCTTGTTTTTGACTGAGGTTCCTCTATTCTGTTTTGCTGGATAGTATCAGGTTCGAAAGTTTAGGCATCAGCTGAGAAGATAATGAGATTCATTATAACGCCCATTCTCGTTGACTTTTATCTACTTTTGAAGACCTACAATATCTCCAATGTTTTGGTTTTGTCGGTTTTATTCTTTACGGTTTTGTTCAATTGTATTACAACTAATGATATAGGCAATTCTATTAGAAATAGCGGGAGGCATTATGGTAACCATTGTTGATCACCTTGTATTATGTTTTTATATTATCTATTATATCCACACTTTTGACTTGACCGATTCTGTTCTGTTATGTCACATTTGGTTTTACTCTCTTCCAAAAAAGCAATAAGAACCGTGGGAGCAATGAAACCCAAAATGTGTAATAGTCACTGTACAAAAGAGAGGAAAAGAAAGTGCTCTAAACTATATAACTGCATGTATATTTAAATGTATAAGATAGAAAATGATATCACAGAGTTTTATTGGATCATTGAACAGAACTGTTTGCAGTATCATTGTTGGAATGTCCACTCTACAAGCTTTAATTTTGTGACTTGAACAATTATTTCTAAGATGGCAATATGTAATCCATTAACTAGTGATTTCCTACTGCGCATTTTCTTCTTCTGTAAATCTGTAAAACTTGTACCCCTTCACTGTTTTCTTTTCTTTCTTTTCTTTTCTCCCTAAATAAAAAAAAATGGGCAAAAAAAAAAAAGGTAACTTCAAAGCTAGTATTATGGTATTATAAATTTCTAATCAAGTTTAAATCAATATGGGGTTTAACATCTATCCTTTAAGCTACTGCATTATATACTTTCTCATATAGTACTATAGAGGTTAATGTCGCTTATCTGAAATACCTGAAACAAACATGTCAGCTTTTAGAGCTTTTTTTAAATTTTGGAGTATATGCATATATTTACTAGTTGAGTATCCCTAATCCCCAAATTTAAGATCATAGATTTTGAAATGGTTTAAATTTGAAATTTTTGGATAACAAATGCTCAACTACCCACATTATAAAGTCAGAAATAAGCCTAAATGGAGAGTTCTTTTGGTACAGCAAGCATTCCAGCACACTAGAGTCATTCCTCAGCATATGGGGGAATGACTCCTTGACCTCCTATGGACACTTGACATCAAAATCTGCAGATACCAAGTGCTTACATAAAATGGCAGAATCTGAATACAACCTACATGTATCTTCTGACATACTGTAATCACCTCTCAATTACTTACATCACTTACTAAAATGTGAACACTAAACTAAGTAAACAGTTGTTTTACTTACCATTTAGGGAATGATGACAAGGGGAAATGTACGGATTGAGTAAAGACAGAACCTCTGACCTCTCACACTTCCCTGCCAGTGAACACTTTCAACTCACGCGGGTGAAGGGCACAGAGACAGGGAGGGCTGGCTGGACTTGAGGTAGTGTAAGTTATCAACATACACACCTACATTTCAAACCCTTCCAACCTACCCGAAAATTATCTGGGGAGCTCAAATGAAGCTTTTCCCTAATATCTTCAGAAGCACCAGCACACAACCTATAAAAGATATGATAATTCCTTTCCTCTTTGCCTTGAACACAGATCCTAGATTTCTCTAGAAGATAATGTGAAACAAATCCTCCGACAACTGAGCTCTAGAAAACAAAATCGAGAAAAAAAACACATTTTTCCATTTAGTCTTAGAGCAGAACACAATATTAAATTGTTTATCTTTTCTAATGAACACCTATCAAAAAGAGTATAATGCTCATCAATACAAAGGAAAAAGCATAACTAAATGTAAGTTTAGAGCTTTTATTTAAATTTTTTATAGCAGTCACTCTTCACTTTGAACATCATTTAATCTCTACCCAGGTCCTTCTAAGTTTCAAGCCTCTAACGAATCAGAACTGGGTATGCCCTGTGCCTTACAAAGAACAAACTTATGAAGAACTAGAAGACAGGAGCTCAGCAGCACCAAAGGACTGATGAGAGGAGGAAAACACTGATTATTCTGACTACAGGGGTACACACTGTTGAAATATTACAGTGTGCCCTTTAAATATATACATCTATTAGCATGCTGATCAAGACAATAATAACAGAATAAACTGTGGGAAAAAAAGAAGAGATATCAATTTGTACTCAATGATGCAGTCAGACCCAGGATTTGGGTTATAAACAGCAGAAAGAGCTTTGGATAGTCATAGTGAATATATACATTCTCCTATCAAAAATAATCAAAAAATTCAAGGAATTTAGCATAAGTTCCAGTATAGCATACATTTTAGTAAGATGCTTATATTTTCCATTATCACTACCCAAGCCTATCGTACCCAAATACACTTCCACTTACCTTTTCATTGAAATGTATTTCTACAAATTTTCCAAATCGACTGCTATTATTGTTGCGAACAGTCTTTGCATTTCCAAAAGCTTCTAAGAGTGGATTAGCTATTAAGAAAAACATGAAAATATCTCATCATGTTTCATGAACATGAAAGAAAATTACAAAATGATATGTATAGTATTTCTTCTAAATATTCTTGAAAACATTAATATAGAGGAATTATGTAACATAAAATTCTACAAATATTTAATGATCATCCACCATGTTCATATACTACTTAAACATAAGAGATGGAAAAATTACTCAAAATATAAGAAAAGAAAATGTAAATGTTATAGGAAAGACTAATTTCTAAAAGTCACTAGTTTACAAAACTTAGAATTCAGTTTTAAAAATTACTTCCTACAGCATTCAATTATAGCAAGTACATCAATCCAATAACACTACTAATTATAATAGATAAAAACTGCAAAAATACTGGCAAGAAAGTTATTACTTAATTTACTTTTCTAAAATGTTTTTATTCCGCTATGACTACCAGCCTGAACTTTACAAACACTTCCAATTCAATTTAACAAATTAAGAGTTTATAGAATTAAGAAAGGTTCTCAGAACAATTTTAAATGTTATTGTCTTATAATCACGTTGATTGGATAAGAGTTACCAGTATCTGTACTTACACTCATCAAAGTCTCAACTCTAAATACACGTTAGTATTAGTCTTGCCTATTCTTCACCATCAACCTCAACTGCTTCATGAATCATCAGAATATTTCCTATGAAGGCTTTAGAAGTCCATTTCCCTTTTTCTGTCCATGGTAGAAAGCTAACCTATTTTCCACAAACCCTTTTAAAGATCACTTCTTGGCCATTTCACTCGCCACAATAATTTTAAACGTATTAAAACTGCAAAAAAAATGTTACGATATATTCCTTACTTTTTAGATGGGCAAGAAAACTGGGGCCAGTAAGGTCAACTAACTCTCAAAGGCCCAATGACTGGGTGTTGACAGAAAAGAGACTCCATCCCAGGCCTCCCTAACTCCCTTACTAATGACTTACAAAATAATTTAAGTAAAATTTAATATATGTAAAACATCCCAAAATAGGAAAACAAATACTCCTTCAGAAAATCACATTGAATCATGCTATTAATAATAGATACATTTCCCAAACAACAAATAAATTTTTACATGAGTGTATCAACCAGTTCTACAGTTATCCAATTATACATACTACAAGGCTGCAGAAACACAATAACACTTTCCAGCTTTCCTCAACACACTTTACAGTACACAGCACATTAACATAGAAGAAACTAGGCTTCCATCTAATTTTCAAGTAAATAAATCAGAATACTAATTAGTCTTTCATTGAGTTAGCTTGTAACTTTTTTTTATTCAGTTTTTAAGGGTGAAACTGAGTGCATCATGGGGAACCTAGGGAAAAACAAAAGAGAAAGAAAAAATACAAAAGCCTAAAACACTTCTAGGAACTTTAAGAAGATCAACAGGGAGGCCAAGGTTTGGGCCAGGGGTTTAGCTCAGTGGCACAAGTGCCTGCCTGGCAAGCACAAGGTCGCGAGTTCAATCTCTCTACCACAAAAAAAAAAAAGAAAAAGAAGATCAACAGGACTAAAGGACAAGGTCACAGAGAAACTGAGACTTAAAACCAGATGAGAAGGGCTAGAGGTAGACTGCAGTGTAGGTAAGGTTAGGGTTTTGGAGCATCACCATGAGAGCAATATGAAGTTCTTAAAAGCCTGAATGAAAGCAGAAGAGTTTATCCCACTTCTGCAAGGAGTAGACACTGGCAAGCATATGAAGGAGGAGAACAGATAGAGTACTGATTCAGTGTGACAAGGGCCTCATCCAGCTGTCTCCAAACTGGGATGCAAGGAGCTTTCTAAGAGGTCTGCTAACAAGAACAGCTGAAGGCAATCAATTCACATATTTTTCCTGCCAAGAGAACACTTGGGTTAAAACAGTTTTCCCAAAAAAGTACCTCAACAGCAAACAATTATGCTTCTTATTTCCTTCTTTCAGAAACACAAGGCCCAAAAAACAAACAGAAAGCCAAAGAGTTATCTGTCTTTCTTCCATTCATTCAGTAGATGTTTATACTATGCATTAGGCACTATTCTTGGGATACAGAATACAAAACAGACATCTCTGCTTTCTAATATTTATGTAGAGTAGGCACCCAGGGAGAGATGAGAACAGTAAGGGAGAAGACAACATCTGAGCAAAGACTTGCAGGATATGGGAGACCCTTCTGCAGCTCCAGAAGATCTGTCCAGACCACTGAAAAAATTCCTGTAAGTTAACTGCAACATGTGCTAAATGACAGAAATTTTTTTTAAAAAAAATACCTTCAACAATTCTATCATCAATATCTTGACCCGTTCCATAGGACTCAGTCAGGTATCTGTTTAAAATACAGGATTAAAAAATTTGATGACAATAGTATTGCAAACAATAAATTTGTAGTTTTTGTTTTTATCATTTTTATATTTTAGTACATATAAAACTGAAGCCTGTATCAGCCTTATAACTTTAAAAATTACAAATTTATATTCAAATATATTGTTATTTAAATTTATTTAAAATTCTATTTAAATTGTCTTTGACATATAAATCAATGTTTTCTTCTTAAACTGTTTTAAAATCAGAAACAGTCTGATTTTAACCAACTACCACATTTGGTTTTAAGTTTATTGCTCATTTCACATGGGAATACTCACTAACTATGAGATTTCGAAGCATTTTGCAACAGCCTATTAATTCAATCTTTTTTGCTACAAAAAATAAGGCGATCTGCCACTGAATAAGAATTGTAAGAGTTTGATGGCAGTCAAGGTGATAGGCGGGGAAAAGGTTCAGGGAGGTATAAATGAAAATACCAACTGTCATACACTCAAAGTAAAAATTGATCCCAAGAACTAACAGAACATCCCTTTAGATTCTGGACTTTGAAGGAACATGCCTGTATTTCCTTTTGCTCAACCAGTGGTGGTCTCTTCTAGGATCCTCATGTATCAGAGTTGGCTTTCAACAATCTACAGATTATTCCATACAAAGTGCTTATGTCTTCAAAATGATACAGCCTACCATTCTAAATTATATCCCAAAGTATGCAAATGTTTTAAAAGTCAACATACTCAAATATTTGCATACCCATGTTCACAACTACACTGTTTGCAACTGTCAATTTGAATATAAATTTATAATTTTTAAAGTTATAAGCAACCCAAATGTCTGTAAACAAAGATGTAGACTAACAAAATGCAGTATATACTTATAATCCAGTATTAGCCTTCAAAAGGAAGGAAATTCTAACACACACTGTAACATGGGATACATACCACATGGGTGAAGTCTTTTTATGATATGAGGCAGTCATAGAAAGATAAAAACTATGTGACCCCACCTATCTAGGGTACCTAGAATAGTTATAGTCACAGAAACACAGTAAAATGGTCATTGCCAGAAGCTAGAAGAATGAGAAAGGCAGAGTTGTTATGTAATAGGCAAAAAGCTTCAGTTATACAAGAGGAAAATGTCTAGAGATTGGCTACAAAACAGTGCAAAAGTGCTTAACATTATTAAACTGTACACTCAGAAAAAATTTAGCTGGCAAATTTTATGTTACGCATTCCTGACCTCCAAAATAAAGGCATCCTGTTCCAAAATATTTCAAGGCAGCTGAATACTCACCTTAGAACAAATTTTGTATTTTCTGTTTTACCAGCTCCTGATTCCCCAGAGACAATGACAGACTGACTCATCCTGAGGACCTTCATATCTCGGAAAGCCTTATCAGCTAGGATCAAAATAACATGTCAATGACCAACAATATATTAAACGATACATTAAAGAAATGATAGCAGGCTCACTTCAGGAGTACTTGCTCATAAATCATAAGTGCGCCTTAAAAGGGAAATCTTAAACTCATTCAGAAGTATGCAAAATAGTTTTAAAAGTATTTATTTTCAATGCTTGATCCTAACAGCTAACTTATGCAAAATCCAAATAGCTCTTAATTTTGTGCTACAGTGTGTCTATATCATTAGCTGTGGTCAGCTCTCCCTGGCACCACAGAATAGCAGAGGGACAGAAAAATGTTCACTATCCCTAACTAATGAAGTCCCCACTGAAAAGCAAGAAGTAACAAGCTACCAGAAGAGATAGTTTGGCAACCAAAATTTCTGCTGGGAATAAAAAAGAAAAAAAATAATTGCAAAAATAAATCTGGGAGGTGTTTTTCCTCTATGGATATTATTAAACTCAAACATCTTCAGAATGTATCAGCATTTCAAAGAAAGGCAAAATTTAAATATCTTTAAACTTTAAATTTCTTAGGTTTGCAATTGTTTACATGTAATTTTTAACAATTTTCACTCATACTCTACAAGTTAAACTATAAAGTCAAAAACAATTGTTTAAACTTATTTAAGTTCCTGACCAATTTGGCTCAGCAAAACAACTATTTCTCACCTCAAAACGTGTGCTAACCATACCAACGAGCAAGGTTTTACTAATGTCTTTTTCTCTAAAGATCCAATACAACCATCTGGCCTGGATGTAGCTCCACTATTCCCCAGGGCCCACTGTCACAGAAGGACTGGCCTGCAGGGGTGGCAGATTCTTGGGGAGTCGAGGCCTCATGAGAGGTGCTTGGGCCACTGGGCCATACCCTCAGAAGGTAATTCTCCTGTGCCTTCTCAAGTTCCTGAAAGAGGGCTGTCTAAAAGGAGAAAGCCTGTCCTCTTGCTGCTCCTTATCTGAGACAGAATCACTGGCTTATTCTGGCCACTGCTATCCACAGTGAAGTGATTCAGCGAAGGCCTGGTCCACAGCACAAAGTCTGAACTGTGTGGCTTGGTCTTCTCCATGACTACAAGCTAAATAATCTCTTTTCCTGAGGCATCTTGTCAGATACTTTGTTACAGGCATGCCAAGGTGACTAATGCAACATGCCTAAGAGTACAAGCATTCCTTTACCTAACTTATCAATAACCTGCTACACTAACTTTTATAGAACCATTTTAAACACTTTTTTACAGTCAAAGGGTAAAATTAAAAGCTGCCTTATTTACACTTGAAATACGTAACTAACTCCTCTCCAGTAACCTGCTTATATTCTAGTTCTACAGGACTGCACACCATTTGGTAGCCTGATAAGAGCATATATCAATGCTCATCAGAAAAAAATAAATCTCCTAGTTTGGCTAGTATATTTACTCTGCACAATAACCATGGCACACACAGCAACCAAATCTGCAAGTGAAGCCTGGTTAAGCCATGGGCAATATGAAGAAAAGTTCCAACAAGAAGTAGACTGCACTAAAATGATACTCAACCGCTGCCCAGCTGCAAAGGAGTTAGCTGACACCTCTAAACTTGGTAGGAAAAAAGATAGTGAGTAAATTCTATTCTGATCAAATAACTCCATTTCACTAAGCCTCAGAGCAAGACGAGTGAGGCTGGGGAAGGCCAAGACTGCCGTCTTCCTACAGATTGCTCAACAACAGGAAGCGGGTGCCACTTTTCACTTCCTCGTTTTATGAAATCCTGATGCAAGGTAACACCTGGAAGAAGTCTGCTCTCACAGCTCAAAACTGGCCCAAGTCACATAAGCGGCAACCTGGGTAAGAGAGGAAGGCCTGGGCTTCAGAGCTGTGAAGCATTAAGATAAAGTAGATCTTACTGAAGAATCAAAAGAATCATTAGGTCTGCTTTTATTATGCCCTACTTTCAAATGGGCAGACACACCTAAGGAGACACAGGCCTTTACCAAAGATAACCATGTATAACTGCCCCATGAGCTGGCTGCAAAAGCAGTCATCTCCACCTTGCAAAAGATACAGCTCATAACAACACTTACGCTATACAACCCATATATTCACATGTTCAATTTATGGTATGTTTTATTAATCAAAAAAACAATTAAGTAAATCTGCACAATATGAGAAAAGATAGGAATTAAAATACAATTAAATCCCTTACCAATTGCAAAGACATGAGGTGGCATCGTTCCAAGAGATTTGCCTTGATATGACTTAATTGCATCTGAAGAATATATTTTAGGTATATCAAAGTATGGGTTCACTGCAATCAGAATATTGGCAACATATGTCTAAAAGGAAAGGCATAAACATAAAATTTTTCCAATTACTATTATCATTTAAAGTTGAGCAAGAAAATCAAGGAAAGCACACCTTTTACAATAACATCTAAAAAATAAAATACTTAGGAATCAATCTAACAAAGGATATAAAATTATATAGTGAAAATTACAGTATCCTAAAAAAGGAAATCAAAGAGAGTATCAGAAAAAGATATTCCTTGCTCTTGGATAGGAAAAACCAATATAGTGAAAATGGCCATATTCCCAAAACTGCTCTACCAATTTAATGCAATCCCAATCAAAATATTAGTAGACCTCAAAGATATGGAGAAAACACTTCAAAAACTCATTTGAAACCAGAAGAAAGCTAGAATAGCAAAACCAATTCTGGGTGTCACGATGCCTGACGTGAAATTATACTATGAATCTCTGACTTCAAATTATGCTACAAAGGTACTGTGATAAAATCAGCATGGTATTGGGGGGGAAGGATCTGAGGACCAGTAGGACAGAATACAAGATGCAGATGCAAATCCAAACACACTCACCCACCATCTTTGACAACACACTCAAACACCATCTTTGATAACAAAGCCAAATATGCGCACTAGAAAGAATCCTCTTTAATAAATGGTGCTGGGGACTTCCGGGAGAAATGGTGGATAGATAACAGCAGCTATGGAGGCTCTCTGAGATAGCCAGCTTAGATTCCAGGAATGGTGTGGTGTGGGGAGTCCTAAGCAGGGAAAGATATACCCGGCCAACCTAGGAATGAACTAAGCTGAGAGAAACCAACCAGAAATGCAATCCAGTGCTACAACTGGAATAGCTAAAGTCTCGGTGCAGAAGCTGGAACCCATGCCTCTGGAAACTGCAGCTTAAATTTCCTGCCACTGCTGCTGCATCTGAATCGGCACAGCAGGGATAGAAATGCAAAAGCTCTGAGAGTGGGAATCAGTGAACCAAACTGAAAGCAGAGCTGTCGGGGAGCCCTGCATCGACATGCGGTGAGTGAGAGGAATGGGGACCCTTCCATAGACTAGGAAGCTCCAACAGAGGACATTCTGGGACCAGGCAGACTAGCCGGTACAGGACACTGCAGTGACTTTAGTCACATATTCCCCTCTCAAGCAGGATTGGTGGGGAGCGCTTGAGCTGGGTGATGCTGCAGACTAAGACCCAGTAGGCTAGCCCAAAGCAGGTTCCTGTGCCTGGCAGTGCATCCTAATGCAATAAGGCCTTTAACAGGCTGACTGACCTAGAGGGGTGGGCCCAGCATAGGCTGCCCAGGTCTGGGTCTCCCTAGTACACTGCAGTGGGAGAAACACCTAACCGGCATGATTCAAACAAATTGTAACCAACAAAGAAAGTAAGTGGGCCTCCTATATACGCTTGTATGGAAGGAACAAAAAGTATGGAAAGAGGGAGCAACAGGAAAGGGTCCTCAGTTGCTAATCCTGAGGACACTGATCCAGGAAAGGTAAATGCAAAGGAGAATGAGGACAGAAAACATGCAATATCAGGCACAGCACTAACAGACATAAAGGGATATCTCCAGGACCTCATAGACGAGTTCAAAAGTGAAGTATTTAACCAAGTAAAGCAAGATATAAGTAAAATAGCTAAAGAAATGCTAAGCATCTCCCAAGAAAAAAACAGATGATGGAATGGAAGAACAGAAAAAAAGCAGAGAATTGTTTGATGGAGAAAACAGAGAAAATGTAGAATGAAGCAGGTTCAAAGAGATTACCAGGAAACTAAAAACTCTATTGAAAGCTGCCATAACAGCTTGAAAGAAACTAAGGATAGATTATCAGAATTGGAGGACAGATTTGTAAGGTGGGAGCATGAAAGGAAAAACTTCTTAAAAGTAACAAGGAAACAAGCAGTAACAATACAAAGGCTAGAAGATGACAAGAGGATCTATAACTTAAGAATTAAGAATGTGGGGTGTGGGGCTAGAGATTTAGCTCAGCGGCATAAGCGCCTGCCTTGCAAGCAGGCAGTCGTGAGTTCGATCCTCGGTACCGATAAAAAGGAAAAAAGACAAAAAAAAAAAAAAAAGAGAGAATTAAGAATGTAAAGGAAGAAACAGGGATACAAAGGCTATTCACAGAAATAATCAAGGAGAACTTCCATAATATGGAAAAAGGTAAAGATACTCAGATCTATGAGGCATAGAGGACCCCAGACACCTACAACCCAAACAGAACTACACCCAGGCATATAATAATCAAAATTCCAGAAATCCAATATAAGAACAGAATATTAAAAGCCATCAGAGACAAGAAACAGATCACTTACAAGGGAACACCCATCAGAATTACAGCAGACTTCTCGGCACAAACCATCAAATCACGAAGAGCGTGGGGCAAAATAATTCAAGCTTTGAAAGACAATAACCTCCAGCCAAGATTGATATATACTGCACAACTGTCCCTAGAAATTGATGGAGAAACAAGGTGCTTCCAGGATAAAGAGGAACTAGGGGAATTTGCAACCACCAATTCAGCTCTACAGAGAATACTACAGGACATTCTAAAAGAGAAAAATACCAAGATTCCAGAAACTGTGGCAGAGAAGTCACAATGAATGGGGCAGAAAGCAAAATGGAGAAGACAAACTGACAACTAATGACAGAAAAAGTGCTCAACAAAAACGAGGCAGAGAAGGTCAGATGGTAGGAACAGCTATTTTGGAGAAAACAAGGCATCATAATAGCTAGTGCTGATTTAATATCCTCTTGTTTTGAAGTCCCATCAAGCTTTTGTTCTTCTGTCTCCATCAGTCTTAACATGTTGCATCTTACTGGATTTTATTATATGTGATAATATAAACATAAACTTTTATATACAAGGAGATAATACAGAAACTATTGTTCATTTTCTGTTAGTTGGTTCTAAATACCCTGTAATTCTGTCATACTCTTGAGTGGTTTTACATTGTCTTGATAGGTTTGATGCTACAGTATACAAAGTTATACTCAAAGATTTCAAGGAAAGAGACACTATTGTAACTACTTTTATGTGGAGATATCTTGTGGTGAAACACTATTTTGCTTAAATGGCTATGTTCTGACCTGTGCTGTTTTGTTGTTATGTCCTCTTTTATCTCAATCTCATTTTTTATTATTTATTTTTTTATTTTATCTTTTTAATTAAGGGGAAAATGAACAAAAAATAGCAGGATATATTATAGTAACCCACTTTGATTTCCTATTAACTTGATTGGAAACCCTGTATTGCCTTTACCATCTTGTTTTGACTGATTTTACTCTATTCTGTTTTGCTTGATAGTACCAAGTTTGAAAGTATAGACAACAACTGTGAAGACAATAAGATTCACTATGATGCCCATTCTGGTTTGACTATTACCTTCTTTTGAAGTCCTGTAATATCTCCAATGTTTTGGTTTTATTGGTTTCATTCTTTACTGTTTTGTTCAATTTTATTATAACTGATGATATAGGCAATTCTTTTTAAGATAGCAAGAGGCATTATGGTAACCATTGTTGATCACCTTGTATTCTGTGTTTGTATCATGCACTATGTCCATCCTTTTGATTTGACTGACTCTGTTTTGTTATGTCACATTTCGTTTTATTCTCTTCAAAAAAAAAAAGTAATAAGAACTGTGGGAGTAATAAAACCCAAAATGTGTAATTGTCATTGTAAAAAAGAGAGGAAAAGAAAGTGCTCTAAAGAATATAACTGTATGTATATTTAAGCGTATAAGATAGATAACCGTATTACTAAGTTTTTGTTGGATCATTGAACAGAACTGTTAGCAGTCTCACTGTTTGAATGCCCACTTTATATGCTTTAATTTTGTAACTTGAACAACTATTTCTAAGATGACAATATGTAATCTATTAACTAGTGATTTCCTGGGTTTTTTTTGAAATTCTGTGTAACTTGTACCCTCTTTGGTTTTTTTTTTTTTTCTTTTTCTCCTTAAATAAAAAAATTTTTTAAATAAATGGTGCTGGGAAAACTGGCTTTCTATATGCCAAAGACTAAAACTAGACCCGTGTCTATCACCATGCACTAACCTAAGGTCAAAATGGATCAAAGATCGAAATATTAAAATAGAAATATTAAATTTACTGAAAGAGAATATAGGTAGAAATCTCAAAGACATGCGTTTAGGCAAAGACTTCACAAACAAACCCCAGATTGCAAAGAAAATATTATAAAGATTCGACAAATGGGATCTCACCTTATTAAAAAGTTTCTGCACAACAGAAAAAATCACCAACAGAGTGAAAAGAAAACCCACAGAGTGGGAAAAAATAACTAGTTGTCCCTCAGACAAAAAATGTCTATCTAGAAAATATAAAGAATTGAAAAAAATCAGACCCCCCAAACTCAAAGACCCAAACCAAAAATAGGCATCTGAGATGAGTACACACTTCTCATATAAACATAAATGGCAAATAAATACATGAAAAAATGTTCAACAACATTGGTCATTCAAGAGATGCAAATTAGAAGAATGCTGAGATTTTATCTCATCCCAGAAAAAATGGCTATCATCAAAAAGTCAACTGAAAATAAATGCTGGAGGGGCTGGGGGAGGAGGAACTCTTCCGCACTGCCGGTGGGAGTGTTGACTGGTACAAACACTGGAAAGCAATATGAAGATTTCTTTAAAAACTAGGACTAGAGGTTCCATTTGACCCAGCTATCCCTCTTCTGGGTATCTCCCAGAAGAATTAAAAACATCATACCTTAGCGATATCTGTGCACCCATGTTTATAGCAGCACAATTTGTAATAGCTAACATGGGAAACAACACAAATGCCCATCAACTAAGAAATGGTTTTAAAAAATGTGGTTTTTTTTAAAATAATGGAATACTACTCAGCCATAAAGAAAGATAAAACTGTAAACTCTTACAGGTAAATGGATGCAACCCAAAACCATACTGGTAAGTGAAATAAATCAGATTCACATGTGTAAACATCATATTGTCTCCCTAGTGTGAGAAACTGAACCAGTAAACAGGATCTAAAATGTACAACAGATATTGTTAATTGGGAAGAAATTATTCAAAAGAAAAGACAAACTGAGGATGGGGAAAGAAAAGGAAAAAGAAAAAATATTTGTTTACGCAAGACAGTTAAGATAGTTATACAACTAGTTTCTCTGAGTTCATTGAAAAGAAAGGTTTGTGCCAATATTGTTTGGACAAGATATCATGCCTATACATTGTACTCTGAATAATTACTATGAAGACAACATATTAATACACTAATTACTGTAATTGTCCTACTAACCTGTTTTGCAACTGTTTCATTGTTATTTTTATCTTGCTTCTCTTTCAAATAAAAATTTTAATTTGTTAACCAAAAAAAAGCTGAATAAGGCTAATTGGCAAAAGATCCTTTCAATTCTCTAGATGTCTAAGACTCCAATCTGGCACTATTCATTTTCTACAAGACCAATTATGTCTCTAATTCTGTAAGTCTTTATATCTGGTGTCTCAGTCATCTCGGAATATCCAAGGAAAGAGTCTTTCTTCCAACTGCCTTTGCCTCAAAGAAAATCAACTCTTTGCAACCGCTCCCCTCAGGTACATGACATCACCACCAAGTTACCCTCAACAGGAACCTGAGTTTCTAAAGGCCAGTACCTCAACCAAGCTTCTGTTGATCCCACTTATGAAATCTACTCCCCCCATTTGATTCCTACGCTAAATTTGGTTATGCGAATTTTCATACAGGATACTTCATTCATCTAATGGTGAATGCCAAAAGAGAGGCTTAGCAGTAAATGACCACCAAGTCTTAGAGTTCTGTGAAACCACACTGACTGGAAGATTGATCATCAAAGAGCATCTCAAATGTGCTTTTCAACTTGTAACTGTAGCTCTAAAAGATCAAAAAAATGCACAGGCATGATTTATATAATTTGTGGTTAGTTCAGTGAAGAGTCATGGTGTATTTAGTACAATGTGCAAAATTAGAAAACAAAGGGCTATATTTTCTCCTTTCTACTTCTAATTGTGGGTGAGAAATTCTGTGGAAACCCAGAACTCATATTAGACTACTAATCTAGAATGTAGGGAATGTTTCCAAAGACGTTTCTTGGAACAGAGTAAAAAGCAAAAAATTCTACATCATAATCTTTCTAGGGGAAAAAAAGGAAAGGATCAGAGATTTTAGTAACTGTAGTAATGTTAATTGTGGGCTATTTTACCCAAATCTAAAAGAGAATAGTGTTATCTCTTGATTGGTTAAAAAAACATAATATCAAATTTAAACCATTACTCTAAATCGTTTCCTTCACTTATTCCTTATAGTAACCTCCTCCTTCATACATTACAGTAATAACAATTATACTTACGTATTACTGATTTTTTAGGTACCAGGGATTGAACTCAAGATCTTGCGCTTGCCAGGAAGGCACTTGTACCACTGAGCTAAACCTCCAGCCCTGTATTGCTGATATTTAATGGTTTATAACTAAAGGACATAATTGGCTGGGGGGAAACATATCAATAATGGCTTCACTTAATCCAGAAAATACTGATGTCATAGTTCTACTTCAAAGACAGTATCTCCCACTTATTTCTAAATCATCTTCATTGACTTATTGTAAGTTAAATTTGTTGCTTTGACAATTTTTATATCATTGCATTATCTAAAAGTGGGATCCAGCATACATTAGATTTTGCTCAACGTGAGTAATTTTGCTTCTACACATATTTGTACTCAAGAATATTCACACTGAAACCTAACTATACTCTTTATTCAGTTGATTTCGAAAAACCTCCAGGAGGAAAGTAAAATGTATATGCATAATAAGAAGATATGCTGTACAGACACAGGTAAACTCTTGGAATTGACTACATTAATGCCATTTCCCAACTGTCACTACTTAGACAGATGGCAAAGACCAGATGTAATTTAGTCAGAATTAAGTAAGTACACTTAGGCAAATTGATAATGATATAAAAGATAAACAGACTGTCATTGGATCTAGCAATTGCCAAAGAAGCCATGTGTTTTCTTCGTTCAAAAATAATGAAGAGCCTCATGTTTGTAGCAGGAAAACCACAGTGAGGTAATATATCTCCAGTCAACAAAAGAATCTAGAGTAGGAGACATTAGATCATAAAATCTCAAACATGTCCAATGAATAATGGTAATTAAAACATAGCAGTGAAGTCATAATTTAGATTTTAAGATTAGTATTTTTATGTTCTTGGTATTTTTCCTCATTCAAATTCCTGGCTTAAACACATAATCCTTATAGGCTGCCTTTAATTCTGTATAGAACAATGTGAAAAGAACAATTAATTAATCAGATCTATAGATATATACAAAAGAGAAATGAAAATCCAAAATCATTGTTTTTGCAAATATATTCAACTTCGACATTTTTAAGTCTGAAAGACATTAAATGACACTGTGAATTCACTATTTCACTCCATAAATGAAGTGCCCACTGTGTACTAGGCATATCCTGATCCTGGAGGTGGACCAATAAATTAGAAAGAACCCTGTCTTCCTCAAATTCATTCTACTCCACAGGCTCAGATAAGCAGGATTTCCTGTTAGAAAAATGTCAAACCTGACAACGTCAGTCATGCAAATAATGACCTTCCCAAAAATTTAAACCACAATACTTAAGCTTTAACTAAAGTACTTACATAAATTCTGTCTTTACTGTATCGAACTTTGATATTATGGAGCAATGTGGCTTCATTTAAGTACATCAGTGAACCTAAAACATAAAATTGGTAAATCATTAAACAGTTAAAGGAAAAAAGTAAAATAAACAATATTGTATTAATCGGAGTAATTTTGACCCAAGCTAAAATTCAACTTTACAGGTCAAATTTAATTATATCTTTCTAAAACTCAGGTACATGTAAAACCTCAGGGGCTGATTTAAAATAAACCCAGATGTGTAGCAAAGTATATAGTGGTACAGTATTTGCCTAAAATAAATCCAATTTACTTATGTAACATGGCATTTTTAAGCAATGACTTTCCAACTAGGAAGTACATCTAATGAGTATCACTGAAAGTATACACTGAACAAGTCTAGTTAAAGAGTCAAGTATTGTCCGAATAGGAAGTACTACTTTAGAGGATTCTGATTTACTATACTTCTGACATAAAGATAAGACACTAAACCCATGCTGCTCAGAATCTTACAGATAAAACATAAAAGACAGATTTGCAATGGTTTGAGACAATCAGATCATTCAGTCCCTGCTGGCTGACATGACAACCCTGGGTGAATATGTGCACCTTAACCTACACTGACAGGACACTTAAAGGCAGAATTGGGATTGGTATCTTGACTTTAGGATGTCTGTTCTAGCAATACATCGAAGTTTCTTCCCAATCTATTCTCCAAGCCCTCCAATCTCCTGAACTCCATTAATACCACATGCTAGGATAGACAAAACCAGTCCTTTTCTTAGCGTGTTTGTATTGTCAGCACTACCACTTTCTCAGTCATCCAAACTTTAGGCAATACCAGAATTCCCTTCTCTTACCTCCTTTCCTCTAAAACAGTTTCCAAGTCTGTACAGCATAGCACACAGTAAGCACACCAGTATCAGCATAATCTCAATCTCTGAAATATCTTTCTTTTCTGTCCATTTTTACTGTCCCACCTCAATTTTATTATCTCTTGTGTGACTGATTATAGTCAGCTAGTATTTGTCAATTGCTTCAATTTCTCTCTTCTGTAATACAGACTACTCAGCACACTGATTAAACCAGAGCTCAAGTTAGACCTCTTTCCATCTCAAAAAAAAAAAAAAAAAAAAAAAAAATGTCAGTGGGTCTCTATCAATTACCAACATCCACATTCAAGCTTTTAATAAACCTACATTTAAATATCCTTTTATATAATTTATTACAAAGTAATATAATCTAACTGTAAGACTGAACAGTTTACCAGACACCACTCATGCATTGTCTTCTGCTCAGAATACCCCTCTGTAAGTGCCAAGAATCACTCTATCCCTTAAGGCCATCTCAGAGACTCTCATAAACAATGTTTTCCCATAGTCCTCACCACCACCACCTCGGCCACTCTTTTCTTCATATATTCTTCATGCTACTCCTCATAAATTGCCTGTGTTACGGTGGTAACTTACATATCAGGGTTTGGCTATAAGGGCCTTGAGAGAAGAATGCCGTTCGATTTGCTTATTTGTTGTGTTGGTTCCTATACTGATTCTGTATATAAGTCCACACTACACATATGTCTGGCACACAATTCAACACTTGCCAATGATATCAAGCAAAGTCTTTTGCTACCCTTGTCTCAAGAAAGATCATCCATACTATTGCACTCAGATAACACAGTCATTTTACAAGGGTCTCACTGTTTTCTAATGCCATTTAAAAGTGGAAAAAAAGAGTAAGAAGTCAGTGGAGCCTTCTAGTAGTTGAATAGCAGGTTTCCCTTGAATCGAGGGAGGATTTGAGGTAGGCACAGAGGTACATCTGGCTTGGGTAGTAGTCACCTGTCTTCCTGCCTCTACTCTTCTTCCTCCCCCGTCTCTTAGAAATCTGGCCTAGAAGGCACCGTTTCACTCAGTGTTCAAAGCACTCTGCTGAACCACTGCCCCCAGCTGACTTTCCTCTGAAATACTTGGTGTGAGACCTCATCATAATCCCACAGGAAGCTATCCTATAAACCTGCTCCTGCACACGACTGACTGTTAGCTTTTCTCTCTGCTACACTCCATAGTATCAGTTCTCCTGCAGGATAGCTGTCCATTAAGCCAAACAGATCCCGTCACACGTAAAATATCTGCCAATCACACTAAGAATTTGGGTGAGGCATCCTTATATCACACTACTCAGGGTATTCCAGTTTCATGAGAACATGTAGAAAAAGAAGAAACTATTGCCCAAATGAGAAATATTTTAAGTTCACATGCCTACACCTCCCTGAATGTGAGACCCAGGGATGCATCCAAGAGTCTCAGGGACAGCTTCCTGCTCCACCCACTTCCTTCCTCCTCTCTTCTCTCAGTCACAGGCCCCATCCCTAGGGTTACTGGGATTGATCAATTTTTATATATGCAATTTCTATGAATTTTTTTATATTTTTATACTTGTACTTTTTATGCCTAAGTCATGTATTTAACTCTATTTAAAAGGCAAACAATAAAAGTATATACGTAATTTGTCTCTTCCTAAACATTTTAGTAATACAAATACATATGACACCAGAGGTTTCTAAAGAACAGTATAATTTCATCATTAAATTTGGCAATCTGACTGGAGAATTAACTGAATATTTTCAAGATCCTGCTTACTGAATACAGCTCTAGTTCACTGAAAAGAAAAAAAAAAGAAACCCATAATTTCAACACAGTACAAGTCACCTAATTCCAGATTTATATTATTATAGAAGTCATTCACTACTAAAAAAAAAGAGACAAGCCAACTTTTAAGATTCTTTGCCAACTTCATACTCTGCTCTTATTCTCAATATCTAATAGCCTGTAATTCATACAAAACATTGCATATCATATGAGCAACAGCAGCTCAAAATCATCATGAAAATATGCAATTTCCTTTTTAATTACTGATGTTATTATATCCATGAATTATTTTTCTATTCTGGTATTAACACCTATGAATCAAATAAAAAAGGCAAAGCTAACACATCGATTCCTACATATAAACCCTTCAAAAGAAAACTTGAAGCTAACAGATAATGAATTTTTACTATATTGTTACAGCACCACCTAGTGCTGTTTGTTTTTATTTTTTGTTTGTTTGTTCGTTCACTTTTTGAGACAGGATTTCATTATGTAGTTCAGGCCAGTCTTGAACTTAGTATGTAGCACAGGCTGGCCTTGAACTTGCAGCAATCCTCCTGCCTCAGCCTCACATGTGCTACAATTACAGGCATGTGCCACTACCCCTGGCCTAAAGACAACATATAGCCCAGTTTTAATTGAACAAGTATCTCAGTTTTACTGCATAGTTCAGAACACACTCCACAGACATCAATCACTGATCATCATCACTGATATAAAGAGGGAAGAATTTTAGATATATACCTTTGAGACCCTAAGGAACAATGCCTATGAGTCATATGGATAGCTCAACAGTACCATAACAAGACTGACAAAGAATGACTTTGGATGGAAAACCTACATTCTTATTTTTTTGGTGCCAAAAATCGAACTCAATACCTCGTGCTTGCCAGTCAGGTGCTATGCCCCTGAACTATACTCCCGGCAGAATCAACCTGTAATATGAATTACAATGTTTTATATGAATTACAGGCTACAATCAACCACACTCATTTATGAAGAGTTTCAGAACATATAACAATAATAGTAATTATAATATTCCCATTTTAAAGATGAGAATCTCAAAAGAGAGTTAGGCTGCCCAGAGACACATAAGCATAATAACTGCGCAGTCAGTCATAACTGAGGCCTGTCTTTTCACAGTACAGGGCTCACGCATGATCCCAACTATTCTATGATGCCCTAATTCACAGATGGGGTTCTTACAGATTCACTCAATCAGGTGAGTTCTGGGGAACATCAGTAATTATTCTGTGCCATTGTCTCTTCTTTTTTCTTGAAACAGAGTTTTTAATGTCTGCCACCATGTAACCTGGACACGATTTTTAAATACTGCCCCCTCCATAGTCTAGTGTGAAACATACTCCAAAAGCTCACATATTCTGGGGTTGGTGTTTAGCTCAATGCTATTGGAAAATGGTGAGAACTTCAAAAGGTGGGGCTCAGGAGTATAAGTGGCTCAGTAACTTAGAAGTTGAATCAGTAGGAGTCATTTAACATCACTGCAGAAACAAACCAACATTAAAAAAGCTACTACTTAATAACTACCTAGTAAAACTGTATTTAAAAACACTATACTGTTTGGCTGGGTGTGATGACACACACCTGTAATCCTCCAGCACTCTGGGAGGCTGAGGCAAGAAGATCGCACAAATTTAAACCCAGCTTGGGAAACTTAGACTGTGTCTCAAAATTAAAAAATTTAAAAAGTAAAAAGGCAAGGGATGTACCTTCTGCAAAGACCCTGAGTTCAATTCCTAGTTCAAGGAAGGCGAGGCAAAAGTAGAGCTTAGTGGAAAGATGATGAGTACAGCGGGGATGCAGCTCCTTCACAGTTCTGTTTCAAACTGCTATGACATGAGCAACCTCTCAGCCACACACTCCCACCAGGTGATCCCCTCCAAAACGCTGAGGCAAAATAAACCTTTTCTGTTTGTAATTTGATTTGCTCAGGTACTGCTCGAAAAACAAACAAAAATAAATGACTAATACCACGCCTCCCCCAAAATCGAAATGTGATTACTTCTTAAGGTTGAAAATGTAAGAATAAACATAGCCTGTACACTGGATAAAGGGTTTATTTTTTTTTAACACACTAAGGTATTTATAAATCGAACCGAAGCCGGTGTTTTGTTACATTTTGTTGGGTTATGTTGTGTCTTGTTTTATTTTGTTTGATGTCATTGAGGTTTAAACCCAGTGCCTTCCAATAGAGCCATATTTTCACTTGTTTCTTTTGAGACAGGGTCTTGCTTATAAATTCACTAAATAGTTCAGACAGGGCTTGAACTTGTGATTTTCTTGCCTCGGCCTCCCAGAATGCCAGGATTATAAGTCTGAATCACACACCCAGCCAATGTTGTTTTTTAACATAATGTTCTGAAATAAAATTTTCACTAAGCAGCTATTACATGATGTTTTTAATATTGATTTGCTTCAGACAATGTTAAATGACTCTTACTGGTTCAACTACCAAATTAGTGAGCCACTTTTACAACTTTACAAATCACTTTTTGACTCTAGATGAGCTTCAAATTAACAGTCACAACTATTAACAGGAGGACTTTCGTTTAAGCCTCACAGTAAATTTATACCGTTCCCCGCATGTACACAACTGAAATAATACTAAAGGACAATTGAGACTCACCAAAATGGACATCTGAGATAAAAATAAATTTCAGCCTTTCAGATTCCTTCATTTGTATGAACTTTCATGCCAAAGGCTACAATTTTTTCCAAACCAGTATAATGTACTAATAATAAAACCACTAATATACTTTTTGGAATGAAGGTTTATGTTTCTGTGCTAAGAACTAATTTTAACTTGATACTTACAGTTATCTTCCACATCTTTTTTACTATCCTCTTCTGCAGGGAACACCTGGTTTATAAGAGCCAAAAATGTCTAACAAACAAATAAAAAAAAAACCTCATTAAACATAAAGTTTACACATAATAAGAAAAATAAAGAAACTTAATTGGTTGCTGGCAATAATACATTCTTTGTTAAAATTTAATATAGAGCTCATTACTTAACAAAGCTTTAACCCCAAAACAAGTAACTTTCCTCAACTGTGCCCACGGTCACTAGAGATATGAGTCAATAATGGAACTCAGTAAATAAGCATCCTAAACTCTTTCACCTAATTATTCACATTAATACTAACTTTCCACAAACACACTATTCAACAACTCAAGAGTTTGTTTTGTTTTGTTTTGTTTGTTCCAGTACTGGGAATTGAACCCATGACCGTGTACTTGCTAGGCTAGCACTTGTGTCACTGATCTAAACTCCCAGCCACAACAATCATGTTTGGATACACAGCAATTTTGTTTTAAAAAGCAAAAAGTAACATTCAATAAAATATAAAACATTTTAGTATATGAATAAGTCATATTTGATACAAATTCCTGCCAAAGATCTGTCAGAAATATAGACTATCAGAGAATGTTTGGTTAACAAAATTTAAAAGTATTCACAAATAAACCTACACTTAAATTTAGTAGTTAAATTCCAGCAGAATTAAGATACCATCTTGTAATGGAGAACAAATGATCTCAAACTACATCAAAAGAGAATTTATATTTTAATCCTTCCTATTCTAACAGTTACTTACAAATTTATACCTCTAAACAGTTACAGTTACTCTTGTTGTTTAATGTTTTCATTAATGTTGATTAATGTTTTCAAACATATCAAGCAAAACACTAAGGAAAAATGATCCAATTATTTTAAAATAACACTTGTAGATAAGTGTAGCATGTGCTTAGCATGTGCAAAGACCTAGGTTTGATCTCTACCACCAAAAATAACAACACCTATACTCTGCCTGTGTGTATGTGTGCGTGCAAGAAAATTATGTAAGACAAAGCTACCATCAGAGTTTAGAGAATAAAATCCAGGCTGTAATTACTACCTCAACTTAAAGTCAAACCAAATTTAGAAAATTGTTATGCTCTAAAAACTCTAAAAGTTAATCATTTTGAACCCTGTACATATATTCTCAATGTTATAAATGTAAAAAAGTTTAGAGAAGAGAGCACAAAAGTAAATTAATTTGTAAGTATACTAAGTATATGAATGATAACATAAAGTAATCCACAAGTTATCACAATGGCTGTATAGAAAAATACATTCTCACGCAACCACTAACATTAAAGAACTATGTCCCTACTTGTCACAGCTATGACAAAAGACACAAAGATGCCTCATGTTCCAGAGCTTGATTCTAACCTGGTAGGACCTACACTAAATGAAAAAAACCCAGGAAGTTAGAACACAGGGACAGAAGCTCAGGGGAGGGCAGTGACAAAGATTTGCTACAGGTTAAGAGCACACTGAAACAAGTTCTGAAAAAGGTTTTCTCTCCCTACTTCTCCAACCCACAAATTACCTGCTAGACCCCATTTTCTTCTAAGAAAAAAAATTTGTTTCTTCCTAGAAACAGTTTTATCTTAAAGGGAGGAGAATTTTTCCTACTAGCAAAAGAAGATCCAGCATCGAAAAACACACTAATCACCTAGCATAAAACACCAACCTCACAGGAAAGATAGCACATCAAGCTCTAATAAAAGACCCCAAAATAAAAGGGAGACCTGCATAAACATGATCTCCAAAGAAGACTACAGGAGAGCTAAGGAGCTACACTTCAAAGGAAAAAGTAATTAACAGGTAATTCTGTTTCACGGGAGAGATTTTGTTACCTGTGGAAAATTTCCATAAAAAAGGTAACCTCAGTCTTAGATAAATAAGCATTTGCTAAGCAAAGAGCTATAGACAGTGACACTTCAGGCAAAAGGAGAAGTGTGGGCAGGGACACTGCACCCAACACTACCCACTTTGATAAACATGTGTAGACAGAATAGAGAGAAGAAACAGACATGCAAGAGCAAGGCAAGGCTATAGGGCGAAAAACTGGAGGCTGAGAAAGTATAACCCCAGCAAGGTCGATAAGCAACAGGAAATGCAGGCCCTGATTTGGGCTTTGACCTAAAGGCCAGTCTGTTACAAATGAGGAAGAATTCAACTCAGAGGATCAAGACAGCATTTGTAACGGAGTATTACAGAGGCCCACCATGTTTCATTTGATTAACTGTTTTGTTAATAATACACACGCACCCAAAAAGACACATATGTATTTTACATGTATTTCTTACACATTCAAACATACAAAATACACATACTTCATGGAATGTAAAACCTCTCTTACTGTGGTGCACAAATGAAAACTGTGAAAGCCATTGTTACCATCAAAGCTGTTTCCCACCAGAGCTGACCCTTCTCTATCTCCTATGCGTCCATGTCTCCAACACATTGTTGGTCTCTGGTAACTGATCTACCACTTCATAAACTTAACTTTTTATGTATATATAATATTTAAGGGCTGATGATCTCTAGACCATGAATTTATCTCTGCAAAATATACTTCTCTGATGGATCATTTTAAGTATCTGGTTTTTACAACACTTGGCAATGTATTAAGACCTTAATAAGAAAAAGAGGAAATCAAAGATTAAAAGTAATCCTTGATAATTTGTTAATATTAAAGACTTTTTTGTGAAAAAGAAAAATAAACTTTAGTTTATAGAATTATCTACAAATCCATAAAAGTTTACATGACTTCATAATTTAAAATGTTATAAGGTTTACAGGCACCTGATCTAATACTAACAAGGAACTATTTAAAAGCATATTAAAATATTGAAAAATACATATCCTCATAGTCAAGTTTCTCTCTTATGTCTGAACTGAATTATTCTGTCACCTGTAATAGAATATACCTAAAGCAATATGACTTTCATTTTATTTTAGCCTTCTGACTTACTGTGCTTATAAAATGTTTTTAAAAATGCTTTCAAATACATAAAATAATTAAACTTCTAAACATTAATTTATTTTTTAACATGTATTGCACTATAAATACAAATAGGCGCCTGCTAATAAGAACAAAATCTAGAAACACTTTTTCTCTCCTTCCCTGAAGGTATCTTTAATTGGCCTCCTCTAACCTTATATATTATGCATTTTGGCTCCTGGGTTGTTTACAGTAACAGAATAGTTTTCTTTCTGAAAAGACCTCATGAGAGATCTACTTGTTTTTCTAAGGTTCCCAGAAGGATAATAGTCACACAGCATTAGTTAACCATGTATCGGTAGAACATAAATTATTCATGAACACTTGCAGAGAGTAAAGCAAACATAAATGACATCCAAAAGTTTAATTTAGTCAGAAGACATGTTTAACAGGAATATCTGTTAAACTGAAAATAGTGAAGCTGTCCTACAAAAACAGACCCTTCCCATCCTTGTGGAATCTAAGAGAGGTGTTCACAATGGACTCATTTTCTCCAAGCAGTTCACAATTTCTGGCCACATTCCCCCCAAATTCCTCCCCCTTACTTTATTTTTTAAAAAAAGAAGAAAAAGCAAATGATGGTACAAAAATTCAAAATAAGATTGTAGGACAATAACAATGGTTAGTACATTGCATACGTTATCTTCAAAGTAGTTGCTCATATTATAATGTGCAAGCATGCAAAACTGATCAAACAATACAGGCACTAACCTTTCTTTTCAATGAACTAATAGGAGTAGTCTATCCTAAGAGCAGTATATTTCTTAACTATTTTGAACTTCCATTTTATAACCCTGCCCAGTCTGTGCCTAAGTATAAAAGGAAATAAATCGCATGTGTACAGAATTAAAGTATACTTTCATGCGATCGTTATCACAAAAATAGTGATAAATCAAGTTTAAAATTTAGTATTTTGCCGGCATGGTGGCTCACACCTGTAATCCCAGCATTTAGGAGGCTGAGGCAGGAGGATTGTTACGAGTTTGAGACCAGCCTAGGCTACAAAGTGAGCTCAAGACCAGCCCGAATTGCACAGAGAGATCTTATCTCAAAGATGACAACATAAATAAATAAATAAAATAACTTAAAAATTAAAAAAACTTAGTATTTTTACTCAATATAAAACATATTTATTCAAATCCCAGGATAACAAATTTAAATAAAAAGTGCTCCCCAAAAAGAGAAAACACATAAAGGCCAAGCAAAAAATAAACACTGACAACACAGCACCATCACCTTTTATATTTACTTCACACATTTTGAGCACATCACAGATAAACTAATAATTTCAGTACGGTGGCATAAAGAACACAAATGTTGCTTTGATTTCATCACATAGCTACTGAAGATTATAATTATGAAAGGCCCACTAAATTTGGCTCATTTTATCATTGTGCACCATTTTACTCCTAGGACATGTACTTCTGATTTTAATCAAAGTCGTCAATAGAAAGTCAATAATGAACTTAGGACATTTTTTTCCCTTTACTCTGCTAGGAAAATCTTACTTCTATGCGAGGAGAAACATGTATCTCTTTTGGAAACATACCTACTTCTAAAAAGAAATCACATTTTGAAATCTTCCTGAGAAACTCACCTTGCCTTTTTGGTTCAAGGGCTCGATTGTCAAGCTGTCAGGGCCGATATCCACAATACTGCCCATCTGAAACCCATCTGTTGGGTGTGGCGCCCACACAGGCTTCCCATCCTCCATGTCTGGAAGGGTTATCTACTGTCTCCTGTTTCAAAGGAACAAAGAAGGCAACATGAGTAACTTTTGAAAATCTTTTTTAATAGTTCATTATGGGCTGGGGATTTAGCTCAGCATCGTAAGCACCTGCCTTGCAGACACACAATAATGAGTTCGATCCCCAGTACCCAAAAAAAGGGAAAAAAAAAGTTCATTAATTGCAATTTAGGGAAACACATTTCTCCTTATTCCAGATGCTTCCCATTTTTCCCTCTCATCTTGCTGCCCCTGCTCCCTTACACCACCTCTCCAGAAGGGACCAGACAGGGGTAGCTTGAACCTCGAATTACATTGGCTGCACCACCATCTGCCTTTGGTTGTGCCTGCAGAGCAGTACCACACATGCCTAGTACAAAAACAGAAACAGTCATAGGTTTTACCTGTTGTCTCGGTGTAATTTATAGTTGCATAAACCTAAAGTATGCCAGTTTGCACAACAAATTAAGTAGCTGTTACAGTTTATGTTTAGATATCTCCCTAAAGCCCATGTGGTCATTTGTGAGGCCTTTTCAGAGGTGGCTGGATCTACAGTTGGAGACACTAGGATTAGTTCATGATGCAGAGCTAGGATCCAGGGCACCAGGATTAGTGGTATGAGTGCTACCTGAGTAGCCTGGGTAAGATATAAAAGATAGAAAAAACTGTGGTCATCCCTTCTTGCTTTGCTACCTTTTGTACACCACGAACTATTCCTACTCAGCAATACCTGTCTGTCATGCCACACTGCCTTGGCACCAGCAGACTATGGACCAAAACCTCTACAAACTGTGAGCTAAATAAACCTTTCCTCCTTTAACTTCAGGTATCAAGGATTTTGTCTCAGCAACAAGAAAAGTAACTAAGACAGTACTCATCATCAGCATAGATGTTATAGTCTAAACTTGGCTAAGAGTTGAAAATTAAGCCGTTTGCGATGTAAAGGGATAAAAAAGAGATTCCCTATATTCATCTTCATAGAATTCCTCAGCATACTATTTTTGCTGCTGTTGCCTTACTGTTTTATTAAGATAAAACTTACATACAGTGTGACATGCACAAATCTAAGTCCACAAGTTAGCCTGTACTAATGAATATACTTATTCAACAAACACCCTAGTCAATATAGAAAATATTCACCCCAGAAAGTTGCCTCATGCCTCCTGTTGGTCAGGCCCCATCCCACAGATATCCTACTGTTGTTAATCTTTGCCTGTTTTTGAACTTCACATAAGTAAGACCACACAGGATATATTCTTTTGTGTCTAGCTTCTTTCATTTAACAATATGTTTTGATATTCAACCAAGTTATCCCCTGAATGACTGTCCCTCAATCGTTACCTACTGTTCTCCTGATGGATATCTGAACTATTTCCAGTTCTTATCAACTATTAACTTAAATCCAATTTTTCAATTGTTCCCATAAGGCTTCTTCCATATTTGATTTTATATTTATAATCCTATTGAGAGTGAACCAGAATGTATATGGTACCCAAAATACTTTGTTTTTAAAGTTTGTATGCAGTGAGACTAATGTGTCAAGCAGTGCCTCAGCTAACGAATGATCTGACGTTTTAGTTTCAGCACCTCCACTGAAACGTATTTTTTCACTGTTTATCTATACTTAATGAAGAGCTGCTTCATGTGCCATATGTGCCTCAAATATGGGACCGCCACATGGATGCTCTCAGATGTAGCCTCTCAGGAGAGTCAGCGGCGTTTGGCACACAGCCCAGTGAAAAGGCCACTGACTGCTGACAAGCTGCAGCTGTGTGCTGTTGGTTTCTGTCTTCCGGGCAATGCCAGAGCGTGCTGCTTCCCCCATCCTGCAAGGTTCAGGTGTAATTCTGTGTTAACAAATTAAATGGAAATTCTCCACAGAAGTAAAGTAATAACACACTTATATCATTACACATACATCTGTATGCTTTCCCTGATTATTTTGTTTCATGACTTGAAATATTATTTATGTGAGTGATACCCAAATTTGTTTCTCCAACCCAGACCCTCACAGAGCTCCCAGATATTTACCTATCTTATGATTATAGCTAACAGAGATACTAGTATGTTAAATCCTCAGTTCACCCCCTCCTCTTGTTCTTCCTAGTACCAGTAAAGGCAACAACACTCAGTTCAAATTAAACCTGGTGTGAAACAATGCCTCCAGCTCCTTCCAAATTCTTTTTTTTTTTTCCTTCCAAATTCTTATACCACCCGTGAAGCAAGAACTGCACCATTAAGCCACACGCCCAAGCCCTCTTACTAGCCCCACTGTGTAACTATTTTCCTAGCAGCATCTCAAATCGACCCAGTTCTCAGATCTTGTGTCTCCTCTGTGTTAGTCCAAACCAATGAATGCCACCTTTTACCAAGACTTCTGTGGTTAGCTTCAGCTGCCCACGTGTCCTCTAGTCACTCCAGATATCACCAGTAATCCTACTGACTAAAAGGTAAATCTTATCAGGTCATTCTTGTTCCATCTAGGCACAGACTGTTCCTCCCTGTGCCCCTAAGGTACAGCACACAATAGGCAATACAATAGTTGCTGGTAAATGAATGAATGAATTGTTCAGCAGGGATGAAAAGGAGAGGGTAGATTAAAAAAACTGAATGCTCTGAAAACCTAGGCTTGAAACTCAGCTCCACCACGCAAACTGGCTTTTAGGAAAGTTACTTACCCACTCTGATCCTTATCTTCATCCTTATCCATATGGTGGGATAATATCACTTACCTTACAGAATTGCTGTGAGGATTAAGTGACATAAAACTGAGATCACCATTCTAAAAGTATCCAATAGATGCCAGTCATACCTGCCCCCCTAGACTCCCCCACAGTCTTTGTTTGAAGCCAATTTCAAGACAAAGAACTTGGGTAAGCATGGTAATGTCATATAATCCCAGGACTATGGGAGGCTGAGACAGAAGCATCACAAATTCAAACCCCGCTTGGGCAATTTAATAATTTAGTGAGACCCGGACTCAAAATTTTAAAAAAAATTTAAAAGATGCTGAGGCTGTAGCTCATTATGAAAGCGCTAGGTTCATTCTCCAGCACTAGGAAAAAAAATTTAAAAGGTTTTATGGTAGGTATAAAGACAAATGGAAATACAGAATAGCCGGAAATCACTACATGAAAAAAATCTAAAATTAAAAATCATAGTAGAGCAATATCCCCTCAAAGTTAAAAAGTAATAATAATAATAAGACACTAGGCCAGGGTTATAGCTCAGTGATACAGTGACCGCCTGGCAAGCATGAGGCCATGAGTTTGATTCCCAGTACCAAGAGGAAAATAAATAAGTAAATGGTGCCCCACTGTTTCCTAGTGCTAGATAGTTAAAAGGCACACATTTAAATGTTGCTCCTTGTTGTGGTTGATAAATTGTGTCAACTTAAGCAGCAGGGAACCAGGGTTCTTCCTTTGTAAATATCCTTATCCTATGCAAAGAAGGGCAAGGAGATTTTGTGAGCGCTATGCCTGGCAGGGAGGGTGGCCTATACAATACCAGGGAGAAGAGGCTTGTTTTTCTACTTTTGCTCTGGCTGCTGCCTTGAAATATTGTCCCGGTGCCAAGCCACCCAGCCTTGGAGTCAGCTCATTACAGACTAAAACCTCCACAAACAGTGGGCTAAATAAACTCCCCCTTCATTTTGGAAGTCAGTGTTTTGTCCTAGCAACAGAGAAAAGTAACCAAGACACACCTTCATCAAAGCCCTGAGTCTACAATAAAGTTGTTCTTTAAAAAGCCATCCACCCCACATGATGGGAGAACTTAAGAGAAGAAGAGAGCAATGTATTGAAAGTTAGGAATCAAATGGTTGAGAGAAAACTAACATCAAATCCAAAACAAATGAATCTCAAACCAGCAATTTGAGAAAATGCAAATCAACCCAATTTACTATAAAACCTTTAAAGAACACAAGAATTACAGTATGAGGTACTTCTAAGACCTCAGATCTAAAGAGAAATGTAAAACAGAATAGGCAAAAATTGATAATTAAGTTTCCTAACATCATCACACATGCACTCCACGTTGCTGAGCAAAAGGACCCTTACTACTCCTAGGCGAAGGAAGTTAGAGCTCATTTGCTGGAACTATCTGGTCTCTGGACTGAGAATCACCAGGAACAACAACGTATGAATAGACAAACTTCTGGCAGTGGTACTTCCCATATCTGCATAACTCAACTGTAGCAAGAAATCTCAGCCTAGAGACAATCCTCCCTACTAGATACCTGCTTAAATTTCTTATCCTCACCCTGGATTAGTAAAATCTTGACCTCTGTTTGGCAAGAAATACCATACCCTTCATGCCTCCCCTATCCACTGACTCCCACTCTGTCCTCAACTGTAAATTCCCAGCTGTCTTTGTTGTACTCACAGTTAAGCCCTGTCTCTCTCCCCTTTCATGATACCCTTTGTTATAAACTGAATGTATATAACTGAACTGTGCTCCCTAAACATTCATTTGTTGAAACATTAACCTCAAACTCTCTTTGAATGTATGTCTTTTAGGATATAACCAGGATAAATGCAGTTCTAAGGATAGGGTTCTGATCAGAGAGCTGGCCCTATAAAGAGAGACTCTCCATGGACATGCACCAAGGAAAGGCCACATGGCGATACTATGAAAAGGCAGCTGTATGCAGGCCTTCCATCAGAATCCACAGTGCAGATGGATTGATCTCATCAGACCTCCAGGTTCCAAAACCACAAGAAATGAACTATTGTATAGGCCACTCTGATGGTGGTACAATATAGCCTTACCACAGCCTTTTTGAAGAAAGTGTTCCTTAGCATTTTAAAAGTATCAGCATATTTTTTCCTTAACAGCACAACAATAGAAATGAAATATTCATTGGAAGTTACAGAAGATACAACTGAGTCAAATTTTCTGAGACAAGAAAAAAAAGAGAAAGTAGGAAAAAAAGAGGAAAAATATATGAAGCTAATGTAAGTAAAATGAATCGGCACCAAAATACCAGGAAAAAAACCCTTCTACCCCCTAAAG